ACTATACATGTGTATCTGTGTCCTGTGTTACTTACAAGGTATAAGGGCTATTTGTTGCCGATTTTGACACATTTAAGTGGATTGTTCAGGCTTTCAGCTAGTATGCATTAATTTATTTTTCACTCGAGTGACAATAGGTTAATTATTTAAGACACTTAAAGTTTTGTTAAAATAAGCATAAATCTAGAGAATGCATGTTGCAATAAAACTGTTAACTATATAATATTTAACAAATTGGCTCTGTGTTCAAAAGCTTTAAGTGTAAAATTCCAGGATATTTCAACTATTTGCCTGGTTTATAGATTTCTGAGAATTACAGGAAATTATGATGGAGGATGTACTAGTTTTCATTGTATGCATAAAAATATATGAAACCTACACATTTATAGAAGGAAATTCACTTAAGATAAAATTACCTTTTTTCAACCTCAAACCTAAGTTGTAATAAAATATATATTAATAAACAACTTGTCAGTAATCATACCCCTTAGTAGAGTATTCTTGTCTTCTTAACAAACAGAAAGTACTGTGAGTGGGACAGTAATACTTCCTTTTAGTAAGAGAAACTGTTTAAGTGTCTTAAGTTGTTTTCTCAGAAAAACTTTCAATTGTTCATCTACAATACATATTCATTATACTTGTAATAATCATATCATGTATGCTGCTGTGGGATTGAACCATGCCAAGGATTTTGGATTTTTTCACATGAGGAAATTATCCAGCTAGCTTAAGGAACTTCAGTGGTTCTACTCAGGTGCCAATTCATGCCTGAAATAATGCACACTATGTCTTACTCCACCAGCAAAGATGGAAATTAGCCATATGATCTTTACAGTGTTTGTATGATGTAAAAATCTATCAAAGTAAAAAAAAAAATGCCCTCTATTTCAGGAAAATGTATTCACTAATTTAAACAATCCAAAATCTTGTGTTACTTTCAAAAAAAAAAGTTGGACAAAAACTGATCAAATGTTCAAAATCTAAGTTTCTGACTCTACACAACCGACAAATTCAGACTTTAAGTAACTTGAAATATACTGAAGTACTAATTAATAATTCAAACATCTTAGCACCAAGGCCATTACCCCCTGTAAAGTTCATAGTTCTATGTCAATGTTTGTGAAATCCAACCTGACATGTTCTAATGAAATGCCAGAAGTGTATAACTACCAATTTATCATGCATTTGGTCACAGGAATGGGTATCACTGAAAATGGGACAAATGGGACAGCAAGGAGAGAAAACTGATAATGCCAATTCAATTAGTTTGGAAACAAAATAACCCTACATAACAGTGAGTCATTCCTTCTCACAGTTTTTTACCTTCCCAAAGGAGACAAAAAGTCTTCAGCAATATGACAAAAGTCAAAATAATTTTTATACCATGTATCAATTTACATTTATTACCATAAAAGCACACCCAGGACGGTCAATTTTAGGGCCAATAGTAGCCTGGTGCCCAGTAGGAGTCAAATATAGTAACAATAATGCATGTCAATTTAAAATAATTAAGGGGTTACGACCATTATGCTCCATAGTGTTTGGATGATTCTGCACAGTTAATTAATCATTATGTACAATTAGTCTGACTAAATTTAGCTGGCTGGCGAGTGCCCACCATATGGCTATGCATCTGAAATTAAGACATACATAAAGTGATTCTTTTACAGATTGAATATTAAACATCTTAATAACTTCACGCACATTGTCTTTTAACCCCATATTGACAGTGTGGTGACTTAGAATGGAACTATTACTTGCATACTAGTTTAAGTTTTCTCGCCCTTGATTACCAGTATGTCATTCTTTGCATATTTAATTCTTTGGTGTCGAGGTGTTGATTGTGTAACAGTAATAATCACTGTATATTTTTGTTTAAAACTTATAAAAGACAAAATGTTTTATGGCTATAAAAATTCTTCACTTATAAGTGCACTGTAAAATATTGCTTTAATTAGTAATGTCATCGAAAATATAACCTATGAAAATGACATCTGAAATTACTGCTAGAATATGTTAAGACCTCACAGCCCTATTTCATAAAAAGAAACTGATCCTGTTGGAAACTTTAATCTGGACAACTTCTACTTGTAATGTGAGATTAATGCAATCTGAAAATATGAAGAATAATCAAGGCTCTATTATCACTAAGTGACTACTAAAAACACATTTAACACAAGTTGATCTCAATCCCTAATCTGAACATAAGTATACAACGTAACCATTTCAACCAAGCCAACAGTCTTCTAAATATGGTGCCACAAAAAGGAATGACGACAAAACATTTCTGGTCAACAACAGCACATGATATTTTCTGGTGCACTATCATTTCTAATAAATCATAACTTGAACTTCTATCACCAATCTTTGTTGAAGCAAAGGAACTTGGAATTTTATCAAATAACCAATATTAACGATAATATCCAAATATATCCCATATACAGTATAAATATTTTTTTTTTTATATAATTGTTAATATTTGTTATTTGATAGAATTTCAAGTTCCTGTGGTTGAAAAAATTTTGCACATAAAATTTATTTTTTATTTTTAAAAAATCCAAATAAAATGAGAAGTTTTTTTTCTTTTTAATTGACAACATAAAAGACTTTACAAAATATAAAAAGAAATAGTGTTGACTCTAGGACAGAATCACTTTTAGGACACCAGTCCTGACAATACATTACCATGATACTGAATCAAATGATGAAATATACCGCATGGTTTGTCATTTCTGTCAATAAGATCTGTATTGAGTCAGAGTGTATTCGTACTTTTTTAACTAGCTAATTCGTGTTTAAAAGAAACGAAAAATCAGTGTTTTGTGCACACAATGTGTTTATTTCGTTTTGCATTTTCAAAACAATTGTAGGCCTACACTTACACGAAAATATCTTCACGGTATGGCGCGTCTACCTTTCATTTAATGTCCACCGATCATACAAGGGGAGTAACTCTGCAAATACTGAGATATGTATCAGGTTCTCGCCTCCCAACGTGTGAATTGAAATCCATAAGTAGTTGTACCTTCTTGAAACCGTCATTTTAAAACAAACAGTATTGAAACGATTTAATGTTTCATTGCGAGATATTAATTGTTATAATTTATTCATTCTAAGATTTGTGGAAACCTCTGCTAACTTGCCAGGATTTTAATATCATGAACGACATAAATTTTTTATTGTGCACATTTCATTACTTCAATCTTGTAGCTGGTACTTAAAATGAAGTAAGTCACAGTTTGTAGTTAGTGAATACATATATGCGTGGTTATGTCTCCAGAAATCAAAAAAAAATATTATGTGAAACACTAAAATATTTCAGGCACAAGAGAAAAAAAGAATCTATTTGTAAAAATGTATATCATTAACCGATGACTGTAATTGTATCATCAGTAAAAAGATTAAATGAATTTGACCGGCCTCTTCTACGGACAGTTAGAGCTAAAATTAGAAATACCTGAAAACAATTTCTCTTGAACCTAGAGGACATTAGTCCTAGTCCAACTAATTGTACTGCACGACGAGATATTGTGCTATTTTCGTGTCTGGGCAATATCTCGCCTCTACATTAGTCCCAGCTTGAACTAACCTAATTAACATGTAGCATCGATAATCCTGAGATTTTTCTTTTCAAATTTGTGGGAATGAGCTCGATAGGCTATATGTAAAAGGCCAGCAGAGCTTAATTTCTAAACAAATAGATGGCTCATTGAATTCCAAACATCGCAGCATCCTTAGATGGTTAGAAAATTTGATGCTAATAAAATCGTCTAAAAAGGTGTCTTATTGACCATTGTGTAACATTATATTCAATTTCATATATAAAATGACATTCCATGACATAGAAATCTTAAATAATGAAAAACTCATTTGTTGAACCAGGAATATTAAACTTCCTGATTTAAATGCTTTTCAGAAGTAAAAGTATTCCTACGAAAACAAAGTGACGGTTTAGAAAAATAAAAGCAAAAGCATATTTTTTCGGGAACCATGAAATTTCGCTACGGGAACCATGAAATTTCGCTATGTTAAAGTGGCAATCTATTCAAACGTGTTACATGTACTTTCGACTTTTGGAGCACCGTTAAGATTATAATGATATTATGATTGATAACTACTTTTTTCATCCATTTAAAATATGATGGCGTCTAAATGACAACAATTAGTACATGTAGTTAAAACAATTGTGTATGAATATCTTGATATCATAATTTCCTTTATTTTGAAAACACACTTGTTTTAGTATAAATAATATTTCTATTCATAACTGTGTCGTCTGCAAAAAAGATATGAGAATTTGATGAGTCCTTTATGAAAATCGGGATAAAAGACTGTCCTAAATGGAACTCTTAAAACTCTGCTGCTAAATAATGATTTTAATTCGATTTGACATTCATTAGATGCACATTTATTTTATTGGGGAACAGGTAATTTCGTTATTTAGAATTCCTCTATAGATTATAAAAAAATACGTTCTTTCACATCGATATATAAGGACTACTAACATTAAACTATATTGAATAGGCGCACATTTGGTAATATCAGTGTTTTTGGTAAAAACGGAAAGAAAAATGCCCGTCAGTAGTGGCTAATAATAGAATTAAAAGGTATATTTGTGGTAATTTAGATACATGTTTTTTATGTATCTTTATTTTTTGCAACATCATAGATCACAGTTACATAAACATAAGCAAATAAAAGTTTAACAAATAAAAAAATTTTTTAATAAGATAAATTTAAAAATATAATTTATGGATTATGATATGGTTAACGTTAAGGCACAGATTGTAATCACAGATAAGATTATGAAGGATTATGACTACAACTGAACAGATCTAGTGTAATTTGTTTCATGCATACTTAAACAAACAATGGCATGCGAAATATTTTTCATGATTTAAACTATATTAAACATCATTTTATTTTACAAAGAATGGGAAATCGGCATTTTTACAAAATAATCATTTTACGGATTATGGTACGGGCACTCTGGATGGACGGTCGCTAACCTCTTTAACAACACAAATTACAGTGACGTCATATAGCAACATACACATGTTGTCTGTCACAACGGGAAATTAGTTGCAGTTTGACTGATCTTTTTTCCTGGATAATTCATAATTAAGACAGGTAAAGCAGTTAGATATAGTTAAGGTTTGAAATGTGTATTTAGTTCGTTACATTTGATTTAATATTTGTTTTGAGAGGAAATGTAAGATAGCAAATGGATGCAATACAAAACTTTTGTTTGCCTTCTTTGAACTTTACTCTGAGCATCATTGAGCATGTTGTGTCAAAAAGTATACAACAATTCTAAATATTCATTCCATATATTGTCACCATCTTCGCATATGTATATGAAACATGTGTTCATCATCATCATCTTCAGTAATCGCCTCACTCTTCATAGAGCATAATCGCGATGAAACTAAAACTATGTATGTAATAATAGTGGAACCCCATTGTATCGGTAATGTAACGATTCGCCACACTAACGATTCGCCACATAACGATTCGACACAGAGTAATAACGATTCGCCACAGTTAAATAACGATTCGCCACGTGTTCAAATACAAATTTTTTTTCACATCTGTTTTCAAACTGTTGATGGAAAACTTTTTTCCATTTTATATTTCATTTGTTAATTACATAAATTGATTACACTAAATACACATTTTATTGAATAAAAACACACGAAAACCAAATATTTTATTAACAAAATTACATTACACATTTTATAACTTCGTTATTTATATAAACTGGAAAAATATACGTGTACGTATATTTAGTTTGTCTTGTAATTTGTCTTTGAATTTCTGAATATTTTTAAATGCCATTATGTTTGTAATGTTTTGTACACGGACAATCTTTAAATATGACATTTTTTAAATGGATAAGTCATGCCTTCTACTACCTTTAAGGTCTTTTCTAGTAGATGTTTTCATTGCCTAGTTAAGTTATAGCCATACCTACAATTAGAAGAACTTCTTACGAATACAAACAGAACGTGTAAAGCGCATTACAACATAAATATTACTATTGCGAACTTTTGGAAGGAATTTGAATTTGACCACCTTTTGAATTTCATGAAAAAATATCTTGAAAGATTTTCCAGCATTCTAAAGGATTTGAAAGTTAACTAATCCCGTTTGCGTCTACAGCTTTCTTTTTCTAGACATTAAATCAATTTGAAGGTATTAAATTGTAATGGCTAAAGTTATAAAAATAGATAAAAAAATGTCTACAAATTTATGTGGGTATTTTATCTTTATTTATTTATATTATTGTTTTAATGTCATTTAATAAACAGTACTGGAAATAAAATTTCAAATGTCATAGATGCATATGGTCTACGAAATAAATGTGGTCTCAAAGACTACTAAACAATGGATAATTAGCCGAGAACATTTTTGGCAGCCTTTCTGTTTTATGTGACATAAATCAATTCAACTTAAAAGACATAATGTTTTAAGTCACATTGAACACTTTGATTTTAACAATTTTTGAAAAAAGTTACAAGGACTGTTCTATCTCCAAATGTTTTCTTAGGTTTTTAAGCAAGGAAATATTAAAATCCACAAATCTTTAACGATATTGAGTTGTTCTCCGACACCACGTATAGTAGTTTTTAAATTTTCAAAATCCGACAATTAAAATAAAAAGTTATGCAATACTAAATCTTTATATGCTTTTTCTCAAAAACAAAAAAATGGCACTGAGAACAAAACGTTTTTCAAGCGACGCTGTGTTTCCACATTTTATACATGATGCCATCTTTGACACTTGTCACATATGTTACAGCACGTGGGTTACTGTAGATACATCTTAAACAGAATGAACAAGGAGGAGCTGGCATGATTCTGATTTCGTTATTTTTCGTTTGTATACTATTTTATGTATGTGTTTAAGCTATTTAAATAAACCCTCTTAATCGGCATATATCGGCTCGCTCAAATTAATTTGTAAACAAACATAAGCTTAATTGCCGCATTGTTTTGAAATCTGAATACATTGTCAGATAATTAAAGGATTATTTCGGCGTCAATTAAATATTTCTACAACAATCCTAAGGTGATTGGCTTGTTTAAATTAAAGGTGTGACAAATGTTTTACATATGCGTTCTTTAATCAATTATCGTAAATCAATTTTCGTATGAACACATGTTTTTGCAATACTTTGTTTAAATATTTGACATATATTATAATATATGAACTATATATTTATATATAAATATTAATTGACATATAATTATGTTTATCAGTAATTCAATAATTATTTCAACATATAATTACTTTCTTGTTAATGTACTCCTGTAATAATGTTACTTTGATAAATTGAAAATCCGCGATGGGGGCCTTAACTTCATATTACTTGTGTTAAGAAACATTATTAAATTATTGTCATTGTCAAATTATTAAAACAAAAGGAAAAAGTTTGTTGATAACTAAAAAATCATTGTTATAATCATACTGTGGCGAATCGTTATTTAACTGTGGCGAATCGTTATTACTCTGTGGCGAATCGTTATGTGGCGAATCGTTAGTGTGGCGAATCGTTACTAATTCATTGTATCGTGCTATTCATTGTATCGATCTATTTACAAATTTTTCGACTTTTTTGCAAAATGTACTAGCTACTGATTGTTTACATTTACAACAGTGTCACGAAAATCTTTCGCATTTGTTTTGTGCCGTAAAAATGATCAAAAACATGTTTTAGGTACTATCAGACTTTGTAGATTATAAATAGACTTATAAATAGTGTGTTCTTATTAAAAGTACATTAACTGTCTGTTGAAAGTTCCTAAATTTATGCTGACATTTTAAAACAGACATCTTTGATTCTAATTGACTGAAAATTCTAACATAAAGATGGTTCAGGCTTCCCAAACTTTGACTAACTGAGCGATTCTCACAATGCATCGATATAATGGCGTGACCTAATTCTTCAACCTGTTTGACATGTCTGTGAATATCCGTATATTCCAAAGCTAAAAACTATATATCAGTGATGTTTGCCATGTAAATATTATGACAAAAGAATAAAAATAAATGATACAAAATAAAGACTCGGGGAGATTTAATTTTTTTAACTGCAGTTGTGATTTATGGGTAAATAAATCGATACAACAGGGTTCCAGGCTACATGCGCAGCAATTGGTTTCCTCTTTACTGGTTGGGGACCACCAAAACCGGACAACCACCAAACCCGGACGGTCCTGAAAATGCTTAATTTAGTATTTTCTTTGTTCAGTGGTTGTCAGTCACTTTTTTATAAACAATAAGTGCATGTTTCTTTTAAAATTAAGTAAATAAATTTATTTCAACCTCCATAAATGGTAATATTTTAATGTCTATCAAGAATGTTGACATTGAAATTAGGGGGTCAAGAAAACAATGCCTGACCTCATATACCTGCTATAATCATTTGCAGAGTGAATAATAGAATATCCAAAACTTTAGCATTTCTTGCTGACATATTGTATATCATGTTACAAATCAAAAATCAAAACACCCAAGCTTTTATCTGAATTAAATCACATCATGTACATATCTGTCCGGACACATGGTACTGTATTGTAGACAATTTAGGTAATTTTGATACCCTCCTTGTCGAGCCTTAGATATAAGTGTCAATACAATCAGAAGTAAACAAACTAGTTTGTAAGTTAGGAGAAGAACCTGGCTGAACTTGGTCTCTAGGTTAAAAATTATGAAATTTGTACTGAAAAATGTTCCAAAAGTGTCCGGTTGATGGTCTCCGACCAGTACAGTTAAAATTGTCTATTAACATCTTTTTAAAAACTGGTAAAAACTGGCAAGGTGTCTAGTTGGTGGTTGTGTGTTTCATCAGCGCCAACTTGAACCCCTCCAAGGTTGGTTTCTCAATGTTAGCCAAAGAAGTAATAAATGCCACATGTGTGTTTACATTTTGTTAGTGGAAGACAGATTAGTCAGAAGATGAAATTAGGCAAAACCTATGAACGGGGAAGTCAGTTTAAAAAATCGTTCATTTTTCCTTTTTAAAGGTGTTATTCCGTATTTCATGCACTGCTTCCATTTTCACTAGGAATACTCGACGATTCTTATTAATCCAAAATTTGCGATTGTTGGTTATTGGATTGAGTTACATTGAAAATGGTGGCGCCGACTAGAACTGACACTGAAAATTTCATTGATATGTATAAATTATATATATTTTTTAATTGTCTTTTATTTGATTTTCTTTTAAGTATACACATTAAGCCTACAGCCGGGCAAGCCAAAGCCCAGCCCCGCTTTGCAGTCCCAGCCTTTGACTTCCATGTATTAAAGTGTTGTGTGTGTGTATCCATGTTTCTTGTATTATCAGTATTATCAGAAATATTAAAACAGATGAAATTGGTGTTTCTGGATCTAAAAACAGGTCTACTTTGTGGCGCTGGTATATAGCAAGTAAAATGTAAATGTAAAATTAGCATGCAATATATCTCCAGCTTACATTGTATGGGCATGTAGCAAGGATCTTACTCACATTCCGACTATTTTATTAAATTACAAGTAACTGGTTTGCAGTAAATTTCAGTATCAAAATAATAGATATATGCAGAAAAATGAGTAAAGAGTCTAGTCACATTTCACTGAAGGCATAAGTCTGTTATTAACCCCATTAGCTATCATACAGCTAAATATATAATTGCTAAGAGCAAATGAAATAATTCTGATTTTTTTCCATTTCAGAACTTTATTTATAACTAGGAAAAATGGGAAAGAAAGTTAAAAAGGATGAGAAGCCACCTCCAGATGATGTGGTATGTTTTATTTTCTAATGGTTTAGTATGTAGACCATCAGTTATGATCATTATGAAAATTTCTAATTAATTAAAGTGTTTCAATGACTAATTAATATCATTGTTTTATCATTATTTATTTATAGTCAAATATAGCTTTTGTTTGACATGTTAACCTTGAAATAAGATGAGAAAACCAAAAATTTAGGTGAGCAATGAGAAATAAAGGTAATTCTTTTTTGTAAATAGCTGTATGTTATAAATCATAAATTGCAGAAATTTGTTCTGTGTGTTGACAGATTTTCTTGACATTTCAGTTTGACACATTATTGGTAGAGAGTAGACAGGCAGGTACTGTTGTTTTGATGTTGAGTAGTCCAGAGGAAGATGTCCAATCCAAGGCTTGTGAAGCTATCTATAAATTTGTTGATAAATGTGAGTATGTGGCATTGAAAAATGAAGAAGAAATTAAGAAGTTATATCAGTTATAGCAGTGTTTGTTGCTGTTTAACACAAGTTTGGGGTTTTCATGCATAGTAATTTACCACTTTGGCCATAGGCCATATCAGCTTTATATAACTGTTCTAACTTCTTGCAGATTTTATTCTGTAGCACATATTACAGTTGATATTCAAATAATGCATGTAGTTCATTTAGAAATATTAAAAGTTTGGGTATGTTTCATAACTCCTGCTCTTGAACATTTATGTATTATATATATAAAACACGTGTTTAAAGTTTTTTCTGCAGCGCTATTTTTTTCAATACATTTGACCATGGTTTAGAAATTATCTTAAATGATTAATCTATTGTTTTGAAATAAAATTTGCTTACAAAATTTATCAGTTTAATCTGGTAATAAGTGAATGAAATGTTACATTTAATGCTTGTTACAGGTGATGAAAACAAAAAGCAGTTACTGGACCTGAATGCTGTTGAACATCTGTTAGCTTTAATGCAGAGCGAAGATAAAATAGTACGCAGAAATGCTGTGATGGCTGTTGGTGTAATGACAGCTCACCGTAAGTCATATTATCCTTCATTATATCATTCAAACATAAAAATGTCATCAAGGGTATATTTTAACTTTTCCTTGACTTCTATTGAGATGTGACAATCCCGTGCTGAACAGAAGTCTCGTATTATTTCTCTTTTAATTTCTCAATTATATCTAAAAAACTTCATTGATATTCTTTATATCGTCCTATAAATTTAAAAATTATTCTTTCTTTGTTAAAAAACCTTAAGATTACATAAAATGTTAACTTTTTTTTATACGATTCATGTTAGAAAATGAAACATTTGTTTAATCTTTTATTTACAAAAAGGTTTGCGGATATAATTATGTACTTTATAAAGAATAGCCTTTTTTAGCTCGACTATTCGAAGAATATGAGAGCTATTGTAGTCGCCCCGGTGTCGGCGTCGGCGTCAGCGTCTGCGTCGGCGTCTGCGTTGGTTTAAGTTTTTTGTAAAGTCAAATATCTCAATTATTACTTGAGATATTCTATTGAAACTTACAATACTTATTTATAGTAACAAGGTACATCCAGGGCTCATCCGGAAGGGCGATTCAGGCGATAACTTCGCCGTGTATATTCCAATTTCGCTCTCCCGATTGATCAAAGAGAAGTCAACATCGCCGATAAATTCTTAATTCCCAAATATTAATTACTCAGCGATGTAAAGAGCAGAGATTGTATCCGCCCATATGACGACCGCTAATTATCATTATCCAATCAGAGCGTCGCTTTATACTACCCTTCTACCTGTAAGCAAAGCGATAGACCGCCTACTCTAAACAGTAAATAATGAGAGCATCGGCCCGAAACTGTATAATTGTGTGATAGTTACGGGATTTGGCGATTGTTTTTTCCCGATTATCTATACACGTGCAATCTTCCCTAATTGATATACACGATGCACTTCGATGGTGGGTTTTTAACCCGAGAAAAGGCGATGTGCAATGGATTTTTCACGGCCATCACAAAACTGTTAGTCAATTAAAAATAATCAATTTCATTAATGATCAGCGACAGGATTAAAAACTTAATCATAGTTTTGAATGATTTCAGTCTGTTAACATCAATTTTTACTGTAAAAGTGTTATGTCGCTCACGTCATGGCTACAAGGCGAAATGCCGAAACCGAGCAACTTAAGAAAGTTACTGATTCTGATAGTTACACCTACGCGAAAATTTAAGAAAGCCAATTCGCAAAAACCTTGCGATTGGTATGTTGTAGACAGTGGGGGTGTTTGGCATTGTTCTCTTTGTAGAAATGCCAAATTTGACACAGTTTACGCACGTGGGCACGATATCCGGGCTAAACTACATATGGTCGTATACTCAACATCACTAATTCCGCGTCATCACTTATCTCACGGTTATGGTATATTTTCATGTGACCAGTGTTATAATTGGTCAGAATTGACATATTTTATTCAAACACCTTAACAACAAAGGTTTTGTGCAAAATAATTTAAATCTATAGATTTTTACGTAAACTGAACAACGTTTTACAAAATTCTGCAAAAAGCAACAATAGTCCATTAAATTTGTGCATACGTCTGAAACAATCATCATTTTCTAAATGTTCTTGTTTGTTGAAAAAAATAAATTGTGAGTTACAATGTACAAATACTTTGAATATTTAAAATTATGCAAAATAACATAAAGAAATTTTATCTGAAACATGAAAAAACTGAAATAAAACACCATTACCGCGAGTTCAATGATGACATACTGTTTTCAAAATGGCCGACACACGGTCTACATCTGACAAATTAAAACTAATTTTGATTGAATATATTGTTGTTTCCTTGTGTCATATAGCAGAAAAATGACTAAATGATACAGTTTATGACAGGTTTTGTAGTGTAAGTTTATTGTTTGTGTTCTTTACTGTTTTAAAGTGTTAAGTACCGTGAGCTAAGAGGAGCACAGTATATATCATGTAACGTATATAACAACAAAATTTGTCAGGAAAGAAGTGTTCTTTTTGTTTCAATATATATATTTGTTGTAATGTCGTAAATATGACGCTCAGATTAAGATTTATCAATATTGTAAATTTTAAAAAGCATTATTTATAAAGATATTACCGAATTTAACATTTCATGAAAATAAAGGGAGGTAATTAGAAATTAATTTTCTACAATTTCTCGGTCAAATTTTTCAATAAGAAATAAATGAATGTAATTTTAGTGATCAAATATAATGTGCACAAATTTTTGCAGTACATATTTCACATATTATTTGATGTTTGAAAATTGTTTTATAAGCATAATTATATGCATATAAATGTGACATTACAACATTCTGGAATTTGAAAGAAATTTCTGTCACCAGAACAGAATAGAACAGATATTATTAATCAATATCCAATGTGACCTCATCTTCTATTAAAAGTGAGGAAAGTAAAAAATATATAATTGATTTTATCATCATATCTTTTTCTAACACATTATTATCAACAAATCTACATGAAAATATATAAACACATATTTAGAGAAAGCTTATAAATAGCTGATCAATAGATATCAAAAATAATTTTTTTATTCATATTTTGCAGCTCAAAAACATTTAAATGCCATTGCCAGATCTACTATTAATTAATACTACTATTAATTAATCTACTATTAATCAATAAACTGGAGAAATATTATATGTGATGTTAATTGTGTTTATTTTATAATTAAAGGATGTATAGCCATGCATGTTAATGCATACACATTGGGTTGTTTCCATTCTCCCTAATTTTCGCGAGGAAGTCACTTCTCCCTAAAATTTCCCCCCAGGATGAGCCCTGTACATCAGATTGACAAGTTGTATAACTCTGCCTACAATATTGACAGAATTATGCCCCTTTTTAACTTAGAAATTTTGGTTAAAGTTTTTTGTAAAGTCAAATATCTCAATTATTGCTTGAGATATTCAATTGAAACTTACAATACTTATTTATTGTAACAAGGTACATCAGATTGACAAGTTGTATAACTCTGCCTACAATATTGACAGAATTATGCCTCTTTGGAACTTAGAACTTTTGGTTAAAGTTTTTTGTAAAGTCAAATATCTCAATTATTGCTTGAGATATTCAATTGAAACTTACAATACTTATTTATAGTAATAAGGTACATCAGATTGACAAGTTGGATAACTCTGCCTACAATATTGACAGAATTATGCCCCTTTTTAACTTACAACTTTTGGTTAAAGATTTTTGTAAAGTCAAATATCTCAATTATTGCTTGAGATATTCAATTGAAACTTACAATACTCATTTATAGTAACAAGGTACATCAGATTGACAAGTTGGATAACTATGCCTACAATATTGACAGAATTATGCCTCTTTGGAACTTAGAAATTTTGGTTAAAGTTTTTTTTGTAAAGTCAAATATCTCAATTAATGCTTGAGATATTCAATTGAAATTTAAAATACTTTTTTATAATAACAATGTACATCAGTTTGCAAAATTGCATAAGTCTGCCTGCAATATTTGCAGAATTATTTGCCCCTTTGAAACTTAGAAATTTTGGTTAAAGGTTAAAGGTCTTCGAAGATATTTACTTTTAACTTTACACATGCACTAAGGGTCATAATTAGAGGGTCATATTATCAAGCACTTAGAATAGTCGAGCGTGCTGTCCTACCGACAGCTCTTGTTTATTTTTACAGCTGATGTTAGAAAGTATTTGAGAAAGCAGGAAGCCACAATCCCAGCACTTGTAAATTTGCTTGCTCCTGAAGGTCAGTTTTCTTACTTTATTGTATTCCAATTCTATTATCATCTGTCATTTCTAAATAAAGAATATACAAAGTCACTATAAATCAATGTTCTTTCAAAAGATTTTTTAATATATTTACTTTACAGTCAGTTAAAAGCATTTTGCTCATGATGAGTACAGCTATTTTGTGCTTTTATATATTTTTCATGTGAGTTTTCAATTTCTTCAAATTTTTATGAATATGTTTCATTTATATAACATTGATAATAAGATAAAATGAGTTGTCTTGGACAATGTTAATTCAACTGCCATATAAAATTAATTTACTGATTGTAAATATTTTCGATAATTATCACAATATAGTAACTTAGTGTTGATTAATTTTATTACAGAGGATTCAGTGTGTCATGAATTTTCTGCCCTTGCTATGTCTAACATGGCCACAGAGTTCAGTTCCAAAGCAGCTATCTTTGAGAATGGTGGTGTTGAACCACTAGTCAGATGTTTACTGTCACATGATCCAGATGTTCAGAAAAATGGAATAGAAGCCATTGCTTTGCTACTGATGGTATTCATGTATTTAAAATATTTAAAGTAGATGTTATATTTCATTTTATTAATTGTATATTAATTTTCATAGGCTGAGAAAAATGTTCATATTTTATAGTTTAGAATAACACAGCTTATTATAGAAAAAACAAATTTTACAGAGGAATATCGTTTTAAGTAAACTTTAAAAGTGTTATTACTAACTATATTTAGTCTTACATTTGACACAGGTAAAGTTGCAAATAATGTTTACAGCTCCTCACATGTAAATCTTGAAATGTAATTAAAACAGTGCTTTTGTAGTCAAAACTCACTTATCTCTTATTTATGACTTGTAGACAATTCTTAATATGCCCTCAATTGACTATGATATTTATATATAAACATTAGATTATAAATCATTCATAAATTTTTTTTATAGGATTATCAGACAAGAACAGCTATAAGGGATGTAGATGGTCTAGCCCCTATGTTGGAATGTCTGAAGTCAGAATATGCTGTGATACAGAAGCTAGCATTACTTGCTTTAGAAAGAGCATCACAAGATGGTGAGTAACTTGTACATAAAACACCATATTATAGACCAATCTTCTACTCTTTAATATGATTGTTTATTTTCAAAATTGGTGTCACATTGCTGTACATGTAGGTTAATATATTATTTTAAGACTTCTTAATGATAACTGCTTTTTAACCATTGCTACATGTACAATCAATTTACAACCATGCAGGGAAACCTTTTTATATTTTGCATATCTTTATTTTCTTAAAGTCAATATTTTTTAAAATCCTTCAGAACATATTTGTTATAGACACAGTTCTTGTAATAGATGAAGTGTTGATGGTTTTCAGTTTTGTCACATTGTATTTAAAATCTTTTTGAAACTTATGAGCAAGTTGCTTTCCAGTAAAAATGAGTCTAATATTGTAGCGTTTTAAGGCACACAAATCCTGTCGCTGAAAAACTAACTCACCACTGAGAGTGGTTTATGCTGTTATATATAGGATATTTTCCTGTATGTTAATTCACCACCTTTAGCTTTTTCATTTTGTAATGCTCATTATGAGTATTATGACATTCTACCAGCATCGTTACAATATGACATTATTACTCAAGTTTTGTGCATTTTGTCATTGAAGGCGAAAACAGGTCTGCTCTCCGTGAGTTGGAAGCTATGTCCAGGTTGATAGACTTTGTAGCTCATCCAGAGTGTAATGACCTTCATGTTATGGCAGTCATGGTCCTCTCTAATCTGTTAGAAGACTTGGAGAGTTTAGAGGTAAGTTGTTTTGTTTTGTTTAAGATTGGTACTTTAAATTTATAATTTTTTCTGGTAACATCTATCAATTTGTAGTTAAAAACTTCTATGCTTAGTTATAAAGGTTGTGAGGCTACTGTAATGATTTAGTTGTGAAAATTATCCTGACAAGAAAGTTATATTTTAGACTAGTCTTTGTCATAAAAGCTAGTAAGAGTTATCCTGTTACATTAAATCTAATCTTTGACATAAATTACCAAATCTATTTTAAACAAATTTTTTTTTTCATCTAATAAAACAATAATTTTGTGCTTTTTTTTCAATGAATAAAACACAATTCAGCACATTAGTGTATTGAAATTTAAAACCACTTAACAGATGCAACTTGTACATGTCTACAGCTTGATTTGTCATCACAATATATAAACATTTGCATATATATATGTTTTATATCTTTTTGTTGACCCCACCTTTATTTCTGTCCAATATATAAATTTACTTCACATGCCATGCATGTCTTTTTTCTGCAGTTAGTCAAGGAGACTGGAGGTTTGAAAAGACTGGTTGCTGTTATCACAGACCAGGTACCTCCAGAAGAAGAGGCTAAAGGCGGAAAAGGAGCCCCAGATAAAGGGGGTAAAGGTTCCAGACAGGCCAAAAAGAGTGCAAAAGATTGTAAGTACTCATTGAAAATAAATTTAATAATATACACAAATGTGCTGAAAATTCTTTGGCAAGATTTGAAAAACTTTGTCTTGTGTAATAGTACATTTCTCATAAACTCAGGGTTTTCATTATTAACATATCATCAGTTAAAATGCTTGTTGTATTTTTAGCCTGTATATGAAAATATCCCCCTTCAGAATTTTGGGCTATCCTCAGCAGCACAGGCCCTACCCTACTCCATTTGTTTTAGTAAGCACATCTGTTACTTCAGATAAAAATGAAAACCCTGTAAACTTATACATGTGTTTATATAAATATAAAATTTCAAGTTTGAGAGGTGTGTTTATGAAAATATTCCACTATATTACTATTTCCTGTAGGATTAAGATTAATATTTTACATAATCATTATTGCTGAAGTATTTTTTACATGCTTTGAGATTTGTGTCATAATAATTCAGGATAACTGCCTACAAATAATAATGAAATGATAAAAATATAGAAATGCATAAAGCTGTAAACACTGGAAAGGTCCATCGTGAAAAGGCTTTCCTCAGAATCACTCAATCTATAACTAGCATGGCCATACTTTTTAACATAGATATTTTTATGATTACAGCTGAATATTATCAGAAGTCGTCTGGTAATATAACATTGTAAACATGTTGTTAAAATATGTGTGAGTGAGGAAACTTAGTCTTGTTATTAGTTTAAATATATTTTATTGCATCAGATATTATACAAAGATAAGTAAAATGGGCTGGTCAACAAGTTCTAGCAACATTAGATTAAGCCCTACCTTGTAATTGTAATGTATCTTCAAATTATTAGGCTACTTAGAAACTGAAGTGCAGAAATGTTTTAAAAATAATTTACCTCTAAAGTAAGCTTATGACTAGAGTACCTTTATATACACACCATATAAACCCTATGATTTAATGCGAGTATTTTATTTATTTTCTGACTTTATCAATTATAGTGCAGAGCTAACTTTTGAGAGAGACCACCTCTCAACAGACAATGGTCTTTAATGACAAGTAATTAAGATTAGTAGCATTACTTATAGATGAAAGTAAAAGTGTTGAAATATGAACTTTATCAGCTGATCTGTTCAATGTACGATAATTGCAGAATTTTAAGTAAGTTATTGCTGTGTCTGTTATAGAATGAGGGAGAAATAAGACAACAAAATAAAGGTTTATTTGTTACTCTGTTTGTTGAATTATTTAGTTTATACAAATTAGGTTTTGTTTGTCAAAAATGAAGCATTATAACTTATTTTATTATTGTTGAATTACTTTTATTTGTTAGTAAAACCAACAGTGGGATTTTGTATTTGAAAATAATTAGCATTTAATGTCACAGTTAATATTTTGTGTGAATATAAATGAATGCTGACTATTTGTTTTCTTTTTGTTACATCATCATTTAATACTGTTGCCGACTTCAATGGTAAAACTTTATCCCGATGAGTCCATTATATTGAATTTACTTATTATTTTCTATAACAGCTGCCACATCTAAAAATAAACAAGGGTCTGCAGGTAAAAAAGTACACACAGCAAGCATTTGCTCTCAAAACAAAAAATCCAATAGGTTTTAAGATATTTGGAAAATATTTTTGTTTTTATGTTTTAACAGTTTCTGTTCTTTTCTTCTCCGACTTTATCTTGCAATTTTTGCAAGTGTTTTATTGTTTTCCAGGACTTATCTGTTTACAATGTTATGTACAGTATTTTTGTTTCATGACAGACAATAATCTGAAATATTATAAATCATAACTGTTCACCTCTTATATGGATAGAAATTAAAGTGTATTTTCTGAAATTGTGTTATAAGCTGTCATAAATCAGATTTTTATTAAGTCTAAAAGCATCATTTAAATAATCTTTTACCACAGGTTATTGATTGCACAGTTCTGTTTTCTACAAAGCCATTTTCCAAGGATATGAGAGTGCACATTTCTGTTTATCTAAATGAATTCTGTCTTCTTTTATTTGATTAAACTGGTGGGACATGAGTATTTTTTTCTTTTTTTTTTTAACACTTTTTCAGAAATTTGTAAATTACATGTCTGTTTTTATAGAATGATTAATCTACATGCACAAAATGACTGGTCATAGAGAATATAACATGCTTGTACTCTTTACTTTCAGCAAAGAAACAAGAGTCTGCAGATAGTTCAGAACCTCCTCCGGGCGAAGCAATCATACCAACCCTCCCTGATGTAAAAATGTGTGCTGCCAAGGCTATTGCAAGATCTGCTAGATCTGGTAAATATTTACAAATGTGTTAGTCCTCTGTCAAGATTTGACAAGAATACCCTCTCCTAAAATACTTTAGCAGTAATATCAATATATAAAAAAATTTCAGGACAATTAAATTGGACTCAATCAATTGTGTCAAGTTTCATATTTTAGAATGGACCAAATTATGTATTTTTCATACTTTGAAGCTAGGGAACCTTTTTTGATATACATACCTGAAACTTTGTCAAATTGAATATTGTATGTATCTTAGAGATTTAATTAAGAGTTTCATCATGTGTCTTAAACATTAACTGCAATAATATCAAAAAGAAATAGGCCCTCTCTCTCTTCTAGAATGAAAATTTCTTCAAAGATTCTTCTTCCATATACAAATCTATAAGAGATTTTAGATTATTAGAGGTACATCTGTAAAAAAATGTTTACAATTTCTCACTTTTCTGTGTGATATTATAAACACAGAGACAAAGGGAACAAACTTTGTATTTTACAGCTGAGAATAGGAAGATTCTTCATGAACAAGAGACAGAGAAAATGTTGATACATTTACTGAGTCACGAGTCAGCAGAGGTACAGTCTTCAGCAGCACAGGCCCTAGCCATAATGGCCGAAAACCTCACAAGCCGAGACTCAATTAGAGAGTGGGGTATGTTGGATATTTTCTCTTTATTTGCAAATTTTTTTTTTTTTTATAAAAGAAGTCAAATTATGAATAATGTGAGGATTTGAATGTAAGAGAGTAGATGACCCTTTGTGTATGACATACATGTATTTGTAAGTTTTGTAAATATTTAGTCATATTGAATATGTTGTCAGACATAAATTGTCAACATTATACTCGAGCTTAAATAATTCTTTAAGAATTCGAAAAAAAATGTGATTTTTATCAGTTCCTATATACATGTATGATACAATTTTACTTTTAAAGATTTCATATTTACACTGTACTTATAAAAGTGACAATAATTCATGTTAAAGGCAAAATTTCTTAGACATTTTATGTAATTTAATAAGAAAGATTAAGAGCTATATTAATTGCTGTTACAGATGGTCTAGGCCCTCTTATTAAGATGATCAGTTCAGAAAACAGTGATGTTAAAGAATCCGCCACACTGGCTCTGGCAAATCTTACAACTGCCAACAGCAATAATTGCACGTAAGTTAATTTATAATTCTATACTCCTCTAATATGTCTTTATTTTCCTTCCATCTGCCTGGTTAAAGATTTGTTTGTTTGGTTGTTACAACACACCAGCACAATTTAGGTCATATAGTTTTTAAAAAGAAAGGTTAATTTTAGACCACCTCACCTGCTTAAGCTAAGAGATGCATAGACTCTTGTAATTCAAACCCATTTAGTTGCCTCTTACGATCACACAGGGATAAAATGTGGCTGCAATTCTGATGCCTCAAACCTAAAAGGCTACCCCTCAGCCACATGCGGGCCCCTGTTGTTTCAAATTTATACTGTATGTATGAAAATACATGTAGTTCAAAGATATGATGTATGGTCAAGTTTAAATAAGTATTAATCTAAATAGATAATAGACAGTACACTCCATTTTCCTATACATTTCTACTATTCTTACTGTACTACTTTTGAATAATAAAGAAATAAAATAGAAATTTCTTTTGCTAGTCTTGAAAGCTGTTATCAATGCACTGTACATATTAAACATATCAATACCTTTACATAAGTTAAGGAACTAAAAATAGATAAGACTGTGTTTAAAGTTCTGTTCATTTAAATGTATGTAAAAAAGTTTCAAGGAAGAATGAATTTATTTCTGCAACACTGTAACTGATTTATTTCTAGAGAGATACAGAATTTAAATGGTATAGAACCACTGATCAACTGTCTGGCTGATGGGAGAGAGGAAGCTGTAGCAAACTCTGCATGTGTTCTAACTAACCTGGCACAGATTGAAGTTCTAAGAGCGGATGCACAAAATAAAGGGGTGGTCAGAGCTTTGATTGAACCATTAAACTCTAGGTATGCACTGGGAGTAAAAACTTTGTTTACTAACACACTTAGATTATAATAAGACAACATTATTGGAAAATATGAGAATAAACAGATTTCTCACTCAACTATTTGGAAAGCCGCACGTTTGGTTATGTGAAAAAATACATCTATTTAGTATTGACAAGTTGTTGGAGTAGTTAACATTTTGATGCAATTTTAATGAGCACTAGGAGATTTGAATACCCATGTGATCAATCACCGTCCTATGTGTCGGTGTGACGTAAACCCCAATTAAACAAACAAACAAATGTGATCAATCATGATACACTGAGTAGTGCAGACAAATCATTGGAAAAAAAATCAGCTATTTGCATCAGCAGTTGTGTTGGAAATTATGTTTTGTAATTTCAGAAATACAACAGTTCAGAGTAAAACAGCCCTGGCTGTAGCAGCATATGTATGTGATGCTGAATCAAGAGAAAATGTAAGTTAAGGGATTATTGGAAGACTTCAATATTTCTTTAAAGTCTTAAAAACCTGTCTGATAAGCTCATTATGGAGAAAATTATGTCTTAGAGGATATTGAATGAGTGTAAGTTCAATAATACTGAATTTATTGCACAAGTTGAATAAAATTATATTATGCAAGCCTCTGGTCATGGAGATTTAACATCTAAATATGATGATGCCTTCCGTCTTACAAAGGCATGTTGGGATTTTTCTAGCACTGTTGCAAAATGTATAAAAATCCTGTCTGATATGCAAGAATGTAAGAATTGGTATCTTTATTTTTTAGTTCCGTTTATCTGATGGACTCACACCGTTAGTAGCTTTATTGAGGTCAGGAAATGATGAAGTCAGGAGAAATGCTGCCTGGGCAATAACTGTTTGTGCTGTTGATGAGCCTACAGCTACTGAAATATGCAAACTCGGGTAAATTATGTTCTTATATGGGTACAAAGTAAAAGTGAAAGCTTTAATTAATATAATCCATATTTACATCAATAGTTAAGTCTTTGGGGTAACTATGATAAACCCTTTTCAAAGGCGCTTTTTACAGCAACAGTTTTGCATATGGCATTTTAGATAAAACTTTTTATCGGTATTTTTTATGCTAGAAATAAAACAATAAATAAAGACAGCTGAAACTTTTGATGTTTAGTCCATTACCAATATCAAAAATAATTCCTTACTGGCAGATTACTGTAACAGTATTGAAACAAAAGGGTAAACCTTGATCAAGTACATTTTGTAATGGAAAATGCATGGTAATTATATGGTGACATATGTTGTTTTTCAGTGGTATGGAATTGTTACAAGAGATTCAGACATCTAGTACTAGAAAGAGTCCATTTGCTGAAGCGGCCTTACAGAAACTGTTAGACAGTAATCTCTCAGCTAAATATGCTCTCACTGGATGTCTTAGTAAGTTGATTATAGTATATTTTTCTACAGGGAAAGCATGTCACGGAAAGAAAAGAAGAGAAAAAACATAATCTTTTAATTCTATATAGAAAGCATACAACACATTTTGTAGCATTAAATTGTTATTGTTTTTGTTACATGCTTTTATAAAATTTATCAAATTGAACAACATAATGTTTTTTTTCTAGTAACAACTGTCTTTTGTCAAATTTGTATCAGAAAAGGTTTTGTAAATAAGAATTTGGCTACTTTTGGGATAACATTTTGGGTACATTCGGGTGGCAAGGGTAAAGAAACTAAACATCATATGAATACCAGAAATAATATGAAAACTGTAGTTTGTTAAAGGCCATATATTTGTTATGTTTTAATTATGCAGCATCAACCAACTGTTTAAAAATGGTTTCTTTATTGTTATACAGCTGAGGCTGGGTACCAAATTTTCACTGTTAGAATATGGGACATACATACATGTATATGTATATATGTTATATTTTTACTATACAGCTTCAACAAACTACATAAAAACGGTTTCTATGATATTGGACAGTTGAGGCCAGGTACCAAATTTCTCAATGTAGAGGATTATAATGTTTATATATGTTATGTCTTTATTATACAGCTTCAACAAACTACATAGAAAATGGTTTCTATGATGTTGGACAGCTGAGACCGGGTACCAAATTTCTCACAGTAGAGGAATATGCCAAACAAGATATGAACGACAAGAGGCCTATCATTATTGTTAATGCTAAACCAGAGTATGTTGGCTTTTTTCTTTTTATTTAACTAGAAATTATCTATCTTTCATACATTCATACATACAGTTTTCTAAGTTCTCAGAATATTTAAGTCTTTAAATTTGTGAGTTAATTTTGAAAATAATTGATAATTTATTAAAAAGTCATTTACAACTCTAATTTCAATGTTTTTGGTTTGGTCATCAATTTATTTGAGTGGTAATACTTATGATAATGACTTGTTAGTGAAACTAATATAGGGCCAGTCAAGTCTGTACAATTATTTTTGAGAAATCTGAAGTGAGTAGTTCTAGATTCAAAGTAAAGCAAGTCTTTTTAAAAAAAGTTTTGTATGGTTAAGGTTTTAGAATGCAGGTTAATAAGTAAATCTTGTATGAAGCAGCATTGTCAGTCTACAGTAACTTCTGTTTGTTGTAATATTCTTTCATTATTAATTCCATGTAAACATTACATGTACACTTGTTGATCATATTATAATGTTTTCAGCCCAACAGTATCTCAGGCACAATCTCAAGCTGAACTTGATGCAAAACAAGAGGCGTCAAAAACTAGCGTCACCGGAAAATCATCTCGAACTGGCCGAGATTCTAAAACGTAAGTTCCCTACCCCTATGTCTTAGTTTCATAATGATCATTCCATCCATTGTAGGATCTGTAGGATATTTAAGTTGCTATTTTTCATTTAAGGTAAATAAATCTAGTTTAAAGGTATTGGCTACATTAGGCTAAGTTTACTTATGATGATGCTAAATGGATTTGCTAAATAAAAATGTATTTTCCGAATTCATTTGATTTCATATTAAAATCATGTGTCTGGAAGTGATATTTGTAACTTTGTATTGCTAGAATAATTATTGTATTTTGAGATGTGAATATAAGTAAATTTAATCTAGTGATAAAACATATAGACTAGTTTTGCATTCACATCTCAATTTTACAGTAAATCACATATAGGTTTTTAGGATGTGAACAAATTTGTTTATTTGATGATATTACATAAAATGACCTTCATAATCATTAAATGAAAATGGAATAATAATCTTTCATATAATTTTCTATTCTTACCATTTTCTTACATATAAAGAGCACAGTTTTCACCTAACTAATGAGACTTTGTCACTATATAACTATCTGTTTGCACTGCCCAAACTTACTCTTCATGATATATTATATACACAATTTTGACAGGAGAGAGTGCTATTTGTAAATTAAACATTACCTTCCCATTATAAAACCCTCAAAATGATTTCACCAGTCTGCGACACAAGTTATTTATTTGATGTGCATTTCCATGCCTGAAATGCAAAGCTCTTAATAACCAAATCCTCTGTCTGTATGTCTGCCGGTCAGGAGTATGTCTGTATGTCAGCCCTTGTGTGCAAATTTTGCTTTGCAAGACAATTCTAGTAATATACAGTATGATGTATTTAGCAATGCCTTTTATTTAGTTAGATAGAGTTATGGCCCTTGCCATATTCATGTTGTTTAAAGTACTTACTTAAGTGTAAGTCTGTCAGTTTGCTAATGATGCAGAAAATTAAGTTGAAAAATATTTCTTTAAAGGATGTTATTAAATATTACTCTCTACATTGTAAATATAAGTTGATGGTGAATTAAAGTTAAATTGTTGTATTGTATGGTATAATCATTGCGATTATTCATTTCTTTATGAAGAAGTGAGGGCCGAGCGTAAGTACCTGAGTGAACTAGAGTGTATATAACATATTCCATGAGGTCATGTTTTCCTCTCTATTGATAATGCTTGTTCCTACATACCTGAACTTATTGGGACATTAGAACGTATCTTCAGCCCTGTAAGAGTTGTTCCCCTTTAACAGTGCTTTAATATCACATGATCACTTTTGTTAATTGTACATGACTGAAGAGAACCGAACAAGTGTTATCAATCTAGAGGCATTGACCAGGATTTATTTTTTACATTTAATGTTATAAGTGACCATTTTGTATTAATTTTGGGGAGAAGTTTCCAGCATTTGCATATTGCATGATTTAGTTTATATACAAATTTATTTTAGTTTGATTGCATTGGAAGCTATAACCTTATTGAAACACTCTTATTTCTATTCCTAGAACCAACCAGTATTAAGCAATGAATGTAAAGTTTCTTGCTCACAGAAACAGCGGCTTGCCCCTGAAAGGGTTTGAAACCATGGGTCAGCAATCCTTAGATTACTAGTCTGACGTGTTAACCACTCGGCCATGCCTCTATGATTTATGAATTTTAATGATGATAGAAAAATTTGTAAATGCACAGTATGGTGGTGCTTTTTGATAATGCTGGAAACTTTCACCTAAAATGCATTATGGTCTGGAAGTGTATTGCTTTTTATGGTCTGTGTGTATAAGAAATGCTTTATTTTTCGCAGTATAATACGGAAGGACACTTTTGAGCATAAGAAATCACCCCGGGGGTCGAAGTACGTTTTCATGATATACCCTAACACACTTTTTGACACAATATATTTATCAGAATTCATTCTCCCTCAAAAATAAGTAACTATTCTAACAAAATACTGGTCAAATTTCATAACTTCTGTCAACTTTACTTTCACTTAAAGCTGTCCAATTTTCTTTATTTCCGTTAAACCTCTTTATCAATCCATTGGGTTAAAAGAATCTAATGGAATACATTGATTGACTACATTCAAAATTGCATGCGCTTTTTTTGAAGCATTTTCCTGGATTTAGTTTAGTTAGAATTATAGAAACAATGTTAAAAATTTGACCAAATTTTTACAAGTTGTGTCTAAATTAATATCAATGTTTTTTTGATAATAAACTGTCTTGCAGTGATATCATTCACAAAAACTGTATTATATTTAACAAAAAAAGAAAAAACATTTTCAGTTAAAAAAAAAATATATTGAAAAATGTCTATAATATTTTTATTTTTGTGCTTCAATTTCATTATTCTTGTTAACAAAAATTCTTTAATAAAATCTCTAATACTCACAATACATACAATATTTCTTAACTATTGTCAATTAGTTGTACATGTATACACTAATTACACTTATAATGAAATACCTGTGAAAAAAAATCTGGTCTAGATTTCTTTGGTGTAAATGCAGAAATGCATTTTACTTTATATATGTATCTATATAGGATAGAGGTAAAACATTGCATGAAAATATTAGAATTATTCATCATCGTTCATAGTGATACTTCCATTAAACCATTTCCATATGTTTACAGACATTCCCCCACGTAAGTAAGACAGAGTGTGTGAACATAATACATGTATAGGTTGTTTTTTTACATATTGTATATTATTATTATTATGTATATGAAAGCCCCGCCCAATTTATTTAGTTTTACAACAAGTATGCAATAATCAATTCTTTTTGTTATCAGGTAATCACAACTACAATTTATTTCTGCATCAAGTTGACTTTAACATGATCTTTCTAAGAAAGGTTACAATCAATGTTATATGTATTCATCAATTGGTCAAATTTGCTCCCTGTTTGATATAATTAGGTAAATGCTAGGCATTCAAGAACAGATTGCTGAAGAACTTCTGTTCAAATATGTTATCAACATATATGGTGTGTAACCTTTTATTAGAAAGGTCATATTAAATACAACTTTGTTAAAAAAAAAAATGCATGATGCTTTGCCTATTTTAGCTTCATGTGCAATATAACAGGGTTTTTTTTCAATGTAACTAACCATGCCTTGTTCATGTAGAAATATATTAGCTTATGTAAATCGTCCTTGGTTGGTATAAAACCAAACAATATTTGTACCAGTTTTTGTGATTACTTGATCTCTCCACACATGGTATAGGGAGTTGTGTAAACTGAAATTTCTTCTCTACAACTTTAAATATATCATGTAAAATGCAGATTATTTGCTCGGCGAGAATCAGTGGCGGCATTAACAGCTTTCCGGTGAGATTTGTCTCTTCAGAATAAAATTTGATCTATATTTGATGCATGTTCCGGGAATTCCTGGTTCTAAAAGGGGTTGTCCTTGGTTCTGTGGGAAAAGTCATTCCTTTCTTGTAGCAGAAATCCAGTAGAAATATGTCAGATACTAATATTGGGACATTATGACCTTGGTTAAGGTTTTTGTTTAATGAAAATTGTTATTTTTTTAGTGAGGTTCTATATAGGAAAAAGTCACCTGATAAAATAATATGACACATACTGTAAATACTCTTAATTGTGAATTGTTTTTCCACAAGCTCAGAAATTTATGTTCTTAGTTTCTGCTGTGGTTTTATTGGGGATTCTTATAGTGTCCTAGTAGTTGTAATTTTAATGTGAAACATCTTAAAAACTTTTCTCTTCTTGGTGATGGTGGTGATGAAACTTTGATAGTTTTTCTTAATCAGTTATAGTTTTGGAGTATAAGAAATAACACATGGCAATGGTTTTAAGGTAATTATGATATTGGTCTTTCTTTAAAAAAAATTTCATCACAAATCATGTTGCAGCGGTTATGGACAATTTTGTATGTACATATTATCATATTGATGTGATAGCCATACATTAATGATAAGTTTAATAGTTAGCAAAATACGAGTTTCTTAATTGGTCTGAATACCATGCTTTGTTTGTTCAACAGGGAGCAGGGCACTGGTTCAACCAGTCGTTTATCCTCTGCTAAGTAAGATATCATGCACTGCCCCAGCACTGTCATGGTGCACTGTCGATACAATCTATTTAGACATTCTGTTAGAGACCTATTTCTTGCAATATCGGTATCATTATATAAAACTGGTTTTGTTATACTTTGCACACAGGTTTTGGTGTTTCAACATTGTTACAGTGATGTTATAATTAAACAAATTCAAGGCTGTCTGGTCATGGTGTGCACTATTCCCTTTCCAATCAGTTCATAGTGACATAGCAGTTTATACTAAAAATAATAAATGGTTTTGTCCAGACTGAAAGATGGTTAAGAAATGAAGTGTGGTTTAGAGTTAATTTCTCCATATAGATGCTATCTGGAACTAAGCAAATGTGGGTTTTTCAAAGCTTATTTGCCAGTACAAACAAACTTATACTGTTATAGCTTCACAGTACACTACAAGTCACAATAGATAAGTCAACCTGTTAGGCTTATTTTCAAAGCTGTAACTGTAAAAGTTTGCTTGTACCACCAGATAAGCTAGGAAAAACCCAAAATATTCCCAATTTCAGAGTAAGGTATGCAAGCTGTCACATACTATATGAGGGAAGACTTTCTACCCCAAATGATGAATATCTTTAAAAAAAATCATAATTCAGTCTTTCTATGTTTGTATTATGATATGATGTTATATAAATGACCTATGTGTTAAAAGTCATTATTAGTTCAAGCATGAATATCCTTTATTTATTTGTCAAATTGTCTCTATTATAAAGTGCATGTGTTTTTCGTAAAATTAGAAGTTTTATTTTAACTTTTTGGATTTGTTAGATAGAAATGCGTTTAGGCATGTTTTGTTGTCATAACATTTTTGTGGAGTCTCCCAACTTTTTTTGTATTAAAATGCTTAAAAATAATGGCTAATTGCTTTATTTAATTCTAAAGCATTGTTTTGGGTTTTGAGCTTAACTTATACATATATTTTATTTAGATAACTGATAAAAGTGACTCAGCTGGTCTCTTTGTATTAAGAAGCTTCTGCTATATATATATTACCATTTACATGTTTAATGGATTCAGTTTTTAAATAATTATACTTTTCTGTGTAAATCAGGAACCCTGTAATAAGTCCATCCAGATTTATAGTATAACAATCATTTTACAAGTTACATCAACTTGTCTAAATCTTTTTTTAGAAATATAAAATTTAATCAACAAATTCCACATTGCTTTACTAAAATCATTTAAATAAATCATTATCAAGTGTGAAGTACAGTTGTTATTTTATGTTAAAAGCAATAAGAATGGAAAATACTTGAATAAAATCCGATACATTTTCTTAACCCTTTACCACATATATACGCGAAACAACGCACTTTCGACCCCCCCCTTTTTTTAGGCCTCAAATAGTGAAAAAATGACCTATGTGGGCCCCAAACAAAAGTTTTTGTTTGAGAAATGTTGCTAAAAAAAATGAGCACTTTTTCGGCGCTGCCCCCATCCAAAAGATCAGGGGGTTGCCAGAAGGGGGATGTGCCCCCTTCTGTTAGGGGGGTTTGAAGGGGGGCGGAGTTCCCCTCATCGCCAAGAAAATTTTGGACTTGTGAGAGGCTAAAAATGACCCGAGGTCGATCATAATGTAACGTTTAACCAACGCTGAAAAGCCTTTGACTCTATCTCAATCCCTTGAGAAGTTGCAGCACTTTGAAATAAATTTTGATGGAAAAAATCGAGGCAAAATAGTGATTTATGGCAATTTTGAGATGTCCCCTCGTTGCCATGGTAACAGGAAATTTAAGACTGAGCATGTCGTTACAAAGGCAATGGTCCAGTCAACATTTGTGCCAAGTTTGATAAGTATTGAAGCATTTTTCATAGTTTCATAGCAGTTTGAACTTGTAACAGGAGGCTTTTCAGTGAAAATGGCCATTTTTCAAAATATGCTCATGGGGGAAAGGGTTAAATCATGTCTTTGTAGTTTAAACAAATATTTTTTTTCTATTTTTACAACATGAATATATACAGTAAGCATATACAATCACACTGATATATTTCATGTCTTTTTCATTTCTAAGCTCACTTGTAATAATGTGATATCATTTTTAGGCTGATGTTAAATCATAATTATCATCATAAACTTCCATAATTTATCTGGTGAATTCTAATTAAATAAAATAATGTTAAAATGAAAGTTAAAAGCATTGCCACCAGTATAGTCAGGCCAGCTTGCAAATCTGTGCAGTCTGACCAGGTTCAACACTGGTGGCTGACCAATTCAAATTTTTTCATCTTAATATTCCCAAAACAGATAATGGATTGTTCCAAAAATAGAACCTGGACAAGTCCATTTAAAAAAATTTAGCAGTATAATTATCAAATATTGCTTTAATCGTGTAATATTTTTTGTCTGATTAGAAAAACGCGGAAACAGCAGGAACGAGAGGAGAAACAGCGAGAGGAAGAATTACAAGCCCAACTTCAGCGCGAGGCCGAGGCCATCTCAGCAGCGGAGAACAAACCATACGAAGCACCATGTGATTCTACGCTTCTTAAGTTCATTGACGAGGTCGTAGATAAAATACAGCCATTACCTACCACTAGAGAACAAGTGAAAGCTTTAGCAACGTAAGTATTAGACACGATATAGATTTATTTTATTATTTTATAAAAGTGTTTTTATTTAGGAAATAAATATGAATTTTGAGTTCGTTGTTGTAGAATAATGCAAGGTCAGAGTTGAAATGTGCAGGAATATTAAATCACGGAGGCAAATAGGCCATTTGAACAGTAAACTGTGCATCATTGCAATACAATGAAAGAAAAAATTGTCATTCTAGTATGCTTATAGAAAGAGAATTGATAAGAAATAATGTTGAACTACTTAAGTGGAATTGTTATTTTCCTTGCATAATTTGATTAATTAACATTGCATATGATGCAAAAGCATTCCATTTTTTTTATGCCAAGCATATATTGTGTAATAAAAACAATAATGTTTAATAGAGGAATTATGTAAAGTGTGTTAGAATTTTTTATAGGCATGAGTGGAGTTGGGATTAGTGAAACATGATTTGTTATTTTGTTTATCTACATTATGCTAAAAAGACAGGTTTTTTTTTTAATTGAAAAATTGTCATGTTTTTTTTTATTGTTGTTTATTCAATGTAATATGGTTTTGAATATGTGGTGTGGTTGTCACTTTAGTTGTTGGTTTTTTTTCAGATTTGTTGCAGATAAAATGGGAGGTCCAATAGAAAGAGGTCAACTTAGTAATTTTGGCTGGGAATTACCATTAAGTCAAATAAAATTTGAACTCAAATCTAATGTAGTGCCTCTTGGTAAAATTAAAGCTGGAATACATGTACACAGAGCATTGTTGTTTAAGGTAAGTTTATCAATATATGTTTGTAAAATACAGGTTGCACTGTTTCTGTATACGCTAAATAGTAAGACAAAACTGTGCTCATATACTGCAAAATGGTTATTATTCGAGGGGAACTAATCCACGAATTTAAGATCCAACAAAATTTCATTTCGTCTGCTGTAAGATTACTTTGCATCACATTATTTACATTTTACCTTTTGGAAAAATAAACAGTCCACAAATTTAAGAACCCATGAAAATGTTCTTTGTGACAAAACCATGAAATTTCATGCCCACAAAATTAAGTGAATTTACATATAAAGCTATACCTCATGAAATATTTTTATAAACAGTTAAAATCATGTTGTTTTCATAATCTTATGGTCAATTTGCAAAAGAGTTGTTATATAAAATTTCTCTGTTATTTAACATACATGAATGTTGTACCTAAACAGAATATAATGTTTTGGAACAAAATATTATGCTGCTACTTTAAGTAGAGTTTAAACCATAAAGCAATTATTATGCCATTCACTCTTAAGGAAATATACAAACATACAGGTATTTTGGAATTGTAATTATACTTATTAATGGGGCGTCTGTGGCTAAGGTCGTTGACTTCAAACCACTTGCCCCTCACGGCTGTGGGTAATCGAATCCTGACAGGGACTTTGGATTCTTTCATGTGAGGAAGCTATCCAGCTAGCTTATGGAACGTCGGTGGTTCTACTCAGGTGCCTGTTCGTGCCTGAAATAATGCATGGAAGGGCACCTGAGGTCTTCCTCCACCAGTAAAGCTGGAACGTTGCCATATGACCTATACTGTGTCGGTGTGATGTAAAACCCAATCAAACAAACAAACAATACTTATTAATGGATTTGATTATCTGATTACGAGTTTTATGTCACATGTTTCATAGAAATGGTTCAAATATGTTATTTTCTGTTATTTCAGACTCTGGCAGACAAGATAGCTGTAAGTTGTTCATTAATGCGAGGAGAGTATAACCGAGCATGGAACGAAGTTTTACTACCCGAGGAGGATTGTTCAGTAAGTACTTCAAACTTTAGAATAAAAACATGTAAAAATAAATACTATAAGGATCTTACACCCGGCTGCAGATACAGACCGGAATATCTAGCTCGAGGGTAACTGTTTACAGCGGTAATTAGACTGCTGAGTTTTTGCTTAACAGTTACCAGACGAGAGCTAGATATTCCCATCTGTACCGATAGCCGGTGTTTTATTCTTTTACTTGCATATTACAAGTTAATGATATTTCAAAAAGAAATTATGAAAGCTAATATTTTTATTTAGCACTTTTTCTTATAGTAGCTTATGAATTTACAACTTTATTCATAATGGCAAAATGATTTCATCCTAATAAAGCAATTTATTCATACAAGGCGCGTGGGAATGACAACATTAAAACACACAACTTGTCTTACATGGGTGGTGTAAGACAGGTTTTTCTAGCACCAGTGTAAACAGTAGATAATCCAGTCTGATATGCAAGAAATAATTATTGTAGTATCAACAGGTGAAATTGCACCAGATACTTTTATTTTACACCTGGATAAGTCTTGGTATATATATTGCACAAATTCAATTATAACTATCACACTATTAGTTTGACGTAAGTCTCACTGACAAAACGGAAAGGATTGTGTCTAGTGACTCCCTGTGTCTAGTAACCTTTTTGCTCTATCCAATGGTAGGTCACAGAAGACAGTGGACACTGTAGGCTTTCTCTGTGACACATCCTAGACTTCTTTAGTATATGTCTATACTAAATGAATGCTTGAGTAAAATCCTATATACAATTTGTTTTAAATTGAAAAAAAAATTATGTTTGTAGTGAAAAAAATGTTAGTACTAGTAACTCACATTTTCACAATATTTTAGATTTTGTCACTGCATTAGATTATTTTTGTGCACCATTTCAGCTTGAGGATAGTTTATTTGCGTATACCCCTACAGTAAGTTGTAGTTTTAACGGGACATGGTTCTTAACCCACCATTCTCTAACTCTAGAAATCTTTGTCTCATCTCTGACCCTATGAAATATTAACAGGTTTTTATTGTCATCTATTTGTACATCAAAATATAAGAGGGTTCTACTGTATATAGTGCTAGAAATTTGAGATAGCCGACTGTTTTACATCCCATTAAAAGAATGATCCTCAATTCTTTTTCCAATTCTTACATGTTATGAACCTAACTAGCCAAAATTGACGGAATAACCAATGTTTCTGCTTGTATTGGAGACTTTGCAGCTAAGAAAATTTGTTATCACAGTCAACTGAAATGGTGTGGAGAAACACACCTGGTGTCTTATCTTTGGTCATGGCTCGTCATATGACTGGACTACAAAAATGTACATTAACACTCGGAAACATAATTTCATTATTTGTGATTAGGTTTGATTGTTTGTAAATAGCCTTGTATTGGAGAATATTAACATTATGTACAAGTATTAAATAGTCTCAGTCAGTGTTAATGTATTCATCAGTAAAATAACTACCAAAATTAATAATTTCCATTTAAATGTCAGTTACAAATAACATTTCTTCCATGTGTATGTATGTTTCAACTACATGTACTAAATGTTAAATACTCTTTATTCCTCCATGTATAAGCATTAATGCCTGTTAGAAATAAGAACTTTGTCAGAATATCTATTTAAAGAAGTTCACTTTGTCATGAAATATCTCAAATTCTGAAATTCTCAAACATCTGAATGGGTCTAATATAATGTTCTTTGATTTTTAATTTCTAATTTCTAGGTATGTTATTTCCTTTCTCTTTGCATAGGTTGTTACCTTTAAAGACCTTCAAATGATGCATGCATACCTTTTGTCATGCAAAATCTTTGAATAAGTCTATAAATTTTGGAACAAGGGCAAGCTTAGAGAACAGGGTCTAAGGTTATGAAATAAAAACGGCTACCATTGGCCAGTTTGATATCTATACTCAAAAATCAACCAATCAGATTCTAGCTTTTTGTGTAGACTGGTATCCAGATTTTAATTTATAACCTTTGACCCAGTCTCCAAATGCAGCAGTTTTTCCAATTTTACCTAAGAAACAGTCACAATTAACATTGGTTTTTGAAAATAAGTGGTGTTGAAATGAATTCTTGATACCAGTATTAGATTGATGATCATAGTTCAAAAGCATAGCCTGAAGTATGCAAAAGAGAAAAATATTTGTTTACAGATGTGGCTCAATATTTTTATTTTACAAAAGCAACACATGAAGCTGAATAAATTACTATACACATGTAAACATTAATTATTGTAAATAGTGTATTTAAATGTAGATAATAAAAATTATGCTCATACCGTCCTTCTACTAAAAGTTATATTTTCACCAAAATTAGAATGAAAATTATCTTTAAATTGAATGAATACTTTAGAAGCCTGCTCTTTCAGAAGTCTCAACAATACACATGTGGTATTTTATACCAGAATTTGCATGAAGGTTGACTTGAAGTATTTAATGATTATTCTTATTTTACTATGTTTTTGTTTTTCCAGCCTGGTGCACCAAAGTTCCCACCAAAGACATTTATCGTAGATCTGATTCATGAACCTGGAAACTTGCTACCATTCGACACACCTGAAGCACAAACCTACAAAAAAATCTAGTGAACTAAATGGACTTTCTATTTTTCTTGTTGTACTATCATTAAGTAAAGAAATCCTCAGATGAATTTACAGAAAAAAACTTTTCTACAACTGAATTTTTAAAAAATAGAAATTATGGTTAAAAAAAAAAAGTTTCATTTACGTAGAAAATTGTGTCATTACTTTTATTCTCCTTATTTACTGGCTTATAAAACTTGGACCATAGAAGATTATTTAGTGTCATTGTATTTACTGGTAAATTCTGTTTAAAAAAAACTTAGGAAATATGAAAATTTATGTTTGACCATTCTTCAAACAGACATGTTCGTACTTTTATGAGGATTCTAATTTTTTAACAGTTTAACATAAAGTTCAAGCATTCCAAAATTTCCTAGGACAACCCTCGTAAATCTACATACCCAGTAAAAGCAGCATTTGACAATGTTAGAAATATCTAAAAAAAAAAGTCTAGAAACTATTTATATCCCAACCCCTTGGTACTGAACTATTCTTTTTATATATTGTTGATTTCATATTTGTTTTGTTTACACTGTTTTGTATTATATATTTTATAAATATTAATAAATAATAACTGTGATATGTCAATGATCTAAACTTACTTTGTTACTTAGAAATATAATATGTTACTTACTTTAGAAGAATTTTGACAAGTATTATTGAAGCATTATGAAGCATGAAGTTTGGTTAGTAGTTTTTCAGAAATTGAAAAAGTTCAAGCCATTTCCAAAGTAGTACTTTTCAATGTAAGTTTATATCACTGATAAATATAGAAAAAGTATGAAGAAATAAAATGAAATAAAAAAAGTAAAAACATAAATTTAGTTGTTTTTTTATTGTTTTTTTTGGGGGGTATACAAGAGGGTCATGATGGCCAGAAATTGAGATATTAACTAATATGAAATAACATTATAAAATAAAATGATGATACTTTGCACATATTTTACTGTATCATCTCTGACAAAAAAATGTTTCGGCTGCTCCAGTGTCTGGCTGCTAACTTTTCGAACATAGTCACTCCTTTTACTGTTTTTTACAGACACATAAAATCTACAACAAAATAGATTTAATTCAGTTCTAATAACTAATTTGTATTCTCTCAAGCTACATTTTTTCATGTAGTTCAAATTCATTTTGTTTCCACGTAATGGCATAAAAATGCTATAATATATGACAGTATTTATAACTATATTTCTACTGCGTTACTAACGCAGTAAGGGCTATTTTTGCGCCACTCGTGAAATATACCTTTTGGTGCTCACTCGGTGAAATATATTTCGATCTTACACTAAACTAAACAAATTTTCTTTTTATTATATGCAAAGAAACGTTTTAAAAAGACATTTAACCTAATACTGAATGAAAAGCGCGCCAAATAAAAATACAACGTGACGTCATTTACGACGTCGTGTCATTAAGTTGGTTCCCAGTACTGTGCACGCTGGTATTTCACTGAAACAACGTAAGGGGCTTAAATTCAAACAGTGAAATTATCAAAGTGGTAATTTCACTGTTTCAAACAGTGAAATTACCAGTTTTATATCACTGATATATTTCTATAAAAAACTGAAAAGCATGTATTAACTATATTTCTACTGCGTTACTAATGCAGTAAGGGCTATTTTTGCACATTTTGACCTGTTTATGGTAATTCGCATGGATTGTAAGTGCCATTGATAATGTGTTAATTGTATTCTTTTTGTTACTTCACAATGTTATACAGTTAGATATATTGTCAACTTTTCATGAAAATTAGCATGAATCTGGAGGCGTGCTGCTTTAAATTCTCATTTACGCTTTATATTTGTACCATACATGTTGTTTTAAATGTATATGTATTCAATGCAGAAATAAATCTATCTATCTAATTATGTCCTTATAACTTGCATTTCAAATCATGTATGCTATAGTTCTGAACGACTTCATTTATGAATTTGACAATCATTTTACAGTTTCATCACTAATATATTCTATATGTCAATGATTTGTTACAATGTACATAAAATATAGTTAACCATAAATGACCATTTATACAGTCATGTACATTACAAGTGTATTTTGGATTTTCATATTGAAAGCGAAAACCCTCTCCATCTGGTTTTGCAATAAATGCAATGGCTTTACATGCAACAATCTGTAGCTGTAAATCTTTGGTATTAATCAGCATTTTTGATAGACCATTGTGAAATAACTTTGATTAATCACCATCAGTGATTATTCCCATACTGATAAGCCATGCCAGACATAATGGTTCGAATAATTATTTATCATCATTAGTAAGATCTGGCGGTTGTACAGTTTTAAGACAATCGCAAACAAGAACCGGTTGAACCTGGTGATGCTCCCCGAGTAGGTTTTGGACACAGGAAAGTGTGAACAAATGAACAAAGGGCAAAAACTCCAAAATAAGGCAAGGCAGAGATATGATTTTTTTGCACTGCACTTCAATTCAATTAGATCTATAAAGTTTCATGAGGATATCTCTTACAGTTTCAGAGTTATGTCCCTGGTAAAATTCAAAGTGTAAAAATGAACAAAGGGCAATAACTCCAAAATTAGACAATGCTGTGTTTAGGTTCTTTAGCATTGCAGTTCTATCCAATAAGATCTATCTACCTACAAAGTTTCATGTTGATATCTCTAATAGTTTTAAAGTTATGTCCCGGACAAAAATAAAAAAGGAAAAATAAAAAAAGGTAATAACTTCAAAAAAGGGCAAGGCAGAGTTATGGTTCTTTAGCACTGCACTTCTACCCCACGAGACCTATCTACCTACAAAGTTTCATGTTGATATCTCTTATAATTTTAGAGAAATGGCCAGGACAAAGTTCAAAATGCCAAAATGAACAAAGGGCAATAACTCCAAAATTAGGCAAGACAGAGTTATGGTTCTTTAACAATGCACTTTTACTCAATGAGATCTATTTACCTACAAAGTTTCATGTTGATATCTCTTATACTTTTAGAGTTATGTTCCGGACAAAGTTCAAAGTGTAAAAATAAACAAAGGGCAATAATTCAAAAATCATCCAAGGCAGAGTTACGGTTCTTGTGCACTGCACACCTACTCAATGAGATCTATCTACCTACAAAGTTACATGTTGATACCACTTATAGTTTTAGAGTTATGTCCCGGACAAAGTTCAAAGTGTAAAAATAAACAAAGGGCAATAATTCAAAAATTAGGTAAGCCAGAGTTACGGTTCTTATGTACTGCACACCTACTTAATAAGATCTATCTACCTACAAAGTTTCATGTTAGTACCTCTTGCTGTTTAAAAGTTATGTCCCGAACAAGAAAAGCGGACGGATGGACAGACGGACGGACAAAGCTGCGACTATATGCTCACCCTTCGGAGAGCATAAAAAAAGAAAAACGATATAGCGTTGGGGTACATATATGTAAATGTCATATGTTATTCAAGTACATAGCACTATAATTACAGGCTATGCATGGTAGACATTGTCAACATGTATATGTTGTAACTTTAAACTGTATAGTAGATAAGCGCCCATTCTCAATAAAATAAAGCATTTGAGGTTGAAAAATATAAACAATTTGATGTTGTCATTGTGTCATTTTTTATCGCTGAAGTAAAAGTTAAGGGTATTTTGCAAGTTTGCCAGAAATATTTTGAACAAGAAACTATGATATAACAGGATGGCATTTATTTCGGTAATGACACTGTATTTCTTCAGTAACGTAGATTTCAGATCTAATAATGTAACATATTGGCTGCATATTAATAACAAATGTCTGTAAAATATATCAAAATCTGTAAATTCTCTTTCTAGAGGGCCTTTCTAACCCAGGAAAATTCAAGGAAGTTGGGTACCTTGCTAATTTTCAGTCAATTTCTTCAAAGTTAAATATTCGTAGAAAGCAAAAATAGTCAATTTTGGAAATGATTATTTTATGTCTTCATTCAAAGGATATATATCATAAATAATATATGAGAGGTCGAATGAATACAAAAATGTTGTATTAGCAATTTTTTTTCAAAACATTCAACTTTCCACTTTCTTAATAAATTTTGGAAAATTTATTGTAAACAGTTCTATATTTATCCCCATATAGGATGTCACGTATGTTTCATTTTATTCAAATGCAAGTAAAGGATGAGAAAACAATTTTATTTTTTGTAAAATAATTTATATTTATGGATATTATTTTATCATTATTATATATAGAATGAAATACGGCCAGTAAGCTCTTTGCAGAAATGAATTAGTTGTTGCTGAGAACATCAATATCTTGTAATATATTTTTAACATTTCTGCTGGTACATCAACATATTATTAACATATCTTTCCTTTGTAAAAACAATTTTGTATCTTCTTACATCTAATACAAGCTAACCGTTACTAACAGGCATGTTAATCCCAACTTTATCTTTAATTTTAAAAAAAATTGTTGAATTGTAAATGGGAGTAACGTATATTTCACACTCGCTTATTTATGAACTTTATCACGGAATTGAAACTTACATGTAAAATCGACTTTATTATTTAGGAATCAAACGTACATCATTCTATTGTCATAAAAATGAGATTTTATGTTTTTATATATGCATGTGTAAACAATATAAAGCATGTTTGATAAAAGTAACGTTTGTTTCACTGTGGTTACTTAAACAAGTTAAAACTCGACCAAAGTTAACAAAATTTACTTACTAATGTCAAATAGAAGTTAAAGTTGCTGATATACGTGCTTTCTGACTTCAATTTCCCTTTTGATATACTTACTTTAAAGAGTTGATAACGTATGTTTCTGTAACGTATGTTTCGTTTTTACATTGAAAGTGGGTTAAAAAATGACACAAAACCGTTTAACCCGCCATAATTTGTGGTTAATATATCAGAGTTACACACATGTTAATTTTCTTTCTTGTTTGGATTCTTCTTTGAATGGATTGGCTCTTAAATAATGGTAACGTATATTTCTTTTTAAAATGCTGTTGAAAAAATTTGAATAAAAAATGAAAATTTCCGAAAATAGAATTATATTTGAGAGGTTGCAAGCTTATTTTTACTTATAATTATATACATGCTGTATTATTAAGCATACATCGATTCAATTATGTAATTTCGGTTTCACTTCTTATTGTTTTAGGTTTGTCACTATTTATTTATATGCATTTGGCGACATTTGATCATCCATTATATCAATGAGATTTTAACAGTCAAATATAACTTTTACCAATAATCAAAGTTCATATACACACAGCAATGACTAATTGCACATGTTTCGTTTATTCTGGAACTTATTTTTCTGAAACACAATTTAAAAGTTGAAAATTCTAGGTGGCGACAGTAACGTATGTTACATTTTAGGGCATAAATGGTACTTGTAAAAGAAAAATAACAGATAGAAATATAAAACTGAGAGTGTCCCTATTAGACAAAGTGGCAGCCACCTTTCTAACGACATTTTGACCTCAAGAAAAACCTTCGTATAAGAGCTACCCAGTGGAACATCAAATGCTGTGTTTTATTGAGAATGAGCGAATGTGTTTTTGTAAATCTAAAATTGATACAAATAAAAATTAAACAAATTTTTACCACCTACGACTTTGGTTTGTTGTCATATATGATAATGTTATTATGGTTTTAGTGTACATGCACCTTTGCTAAATGAAGGTAAATAATACTGCAGGATTATTATGTTGTTTCTCACTGGATATTCAAGGCATTATATAGTTTAAATATAGCTGCTGTCAATATCTGAAGAAACCTCACATTTTTCTCTGAAAAATAAATGCTTGTATAATGAATTCGTTATAAATATTTCTGACAGGTTATATGCCCATATATAAATGTACAGGTATATAAACGATTGTTTGCAATATAATCATTTACATAGGGCCATATAAACCTGTCAAAAAACTTACAACTAAATTTCTATTATTCTTATTATTTCTTTTGAATGAAATATGAAAAAAAAAAATTCAAACTGCATACAAGGCAATGTTTATTGCTTGAAATGTAGGACATTTTAAAATGCGTTAACAATGTAAAGTAATGCAAGATGAATGAGCATTATACATGTATATATACACTTTTAAGATATCACAGACGTTTTTTTATATCACAGACAAACATTTAATTATATGAGCGGCGTCATGACAAAACCAACATAGTGAGTTTGCAACCAGCATCCGCGCAGTCTGATCAGGATCCATGCTGTTCGCTTACAAACTTTATAACGAGTAGAGAACTGATAGCAAACAGCATGGATCCTGATCAGAGTGCACAGATGCGCATGCTGGTCTTGATCCATGCTGGTCGCAAACCCACTATGTTGGTTTTGTCATGACGCGGCTCATATGACCATGCCAAGCCATAATCTTTAAATAACTTTATATTGTCACGTCACTTCCAAACCAAAGCTCTTGGTGGAGTTTGACCTCAAACATGGGAAGGTAAGAAAAAACATTGGAGACCGAAGCACATGTACAAATTATCTGCACATCAACTTGCTCCATCTTGTTCATGAATTCTTCTACATGTATAAACAGCTCTTAACTACCGGCTGGAATAAACAGTGTAATAGAAGTATGGACCACTGTTAATCAAACACATTCATCATCTCATGACATTTTTGCCAAGTAAAGGTTCAAATAACTGGTCAAATATTTTCTCCGGTTTCTCTGAGGATCTTGGTAATGTCCTGGCCAGCTCGGCTATCATTGATACAGAGTTCTGAAACAATAAAGGAAAGATACAAAATCATATTATTCTTTAAAGTTTAAGCATTCCTTCATGATTAAAAATCAGGCGTATGTCACTGTATATTTTCACATCTTAACACAGTAAAATCTATTATGAAAGAAGTTACGCAAAATAAATCAATCAAAAGAGCATATTCGCATGACTTTAATTGTAATCAAAGCTTTGATATCAGTAAGAAAATACTTGTATCTCAGGCATAAATGACTATGTTTTTTTCTGTTACAGATTACCATTTGTTACCATTTGTAAGTACAATGTATGTTATGTAAAGAAAACATTCATCATGCAATTTACACATCAAAATTTTAGCTGGATATATTAATTTTGTGCCTGGTACAGAATAACTTGAAAAACTTAATTGACTGGAATGCATAGTAATCTTAATTCCATAAGACAATTTAAAAGATGTATAATGAATGTTAAAAATTCTTCATTCATACAGGTATCACATCATTCATATGTTTGTTAGACTGCATGAAAATACTTGCAATCATTGAAATATGTTAAACAGAAATTCTCTTGCTTTTATGAATAAATTAATCAACAGATTACTTGTCCACAAAGAAGTAAATCAAATTATATAATTTAATTTTAAACAATAGTAAGATTTTATAAATTAGAAAATTCAAATGCAGCTTTAGGTTTTAAAGTGACATTATGCCCATAAACTAGAAAACGTCCACTGTTTATGTAATAACTTTACATTTTGTCATATTTGTTTTCAATTTTTATAATAAATGTCACCTGAATGATCAATAAGCCCAGTGACCCGCATAAACATATCCTTATGATTCATCAGTAACATTCAACATATAAAAAGAGTGGGTCGTTTTAAATTATTTATCCTACATCAGTATGTGTAAATGTAAGCCATTATCAATTTTTCATCACTGACTATTTTAACAGTCAACCATTTAAAATATGTAAGTATTATGGCTCAACATGACAGTGTAAAAATGAGCATAATGTCACTTTTAGAGAAAAATACCATTTTTAACATATGTTCTTCTACTTTGGCATCCATAAGTTTGTTCTTCAATCTTTTTGCATGAGCTGTAACAAATTGTCTTCTAGCATCTTCCTCATCTAACTGTGATTTCATATCCCTATTTAAAATACAATGGTAGATTGGAACTTTGAAATTCATCAATCATTTTATTTTAAGTAAGTCAATATTTCAAATATTTTTTTTAAAAAAAGGCTGTTAAATAAAAATTATATTTTAGTGTGTTTTCTACATGATTACATTCATTGTAAATTTCAGAAAAGAATCAGTACATGTTAAAACTCAAATGCTTTATTGCTAAAACTAAAACAGTTCCACCACCGCATCGTTCCTGGGCAGGCTGTCAAGCAGTTTACCAGTACTAGTTGCCTTCACTTTCGCAAGGAACTGAAACTTGCCAGAGCAGAGGTACAGTGCGAATGACCATAGAAAGGATTTCATGATCAATCAAAAAGAAAGTGACTTGTGCCAGGAATCAAACCCGGATCGCCTGATTCATAGTCCAATGCTCTACCTATTGAGCTTACCGGATGACCTGGGGGGAGGGGGGTACATATTTATACAGGTTTTTATATATGTAATGAAAACACATTCTTCTAGTGTGAAACTAGAGCTAAGACATTTGACATGTAGCATTGCCTAGAAGACATCTATAGAAGCTACTGGGAAAAAATGACCCCACCATGGAGGTCAGTTTGTTTATGCAGACTTATAAACATATCTTTGAAATCTTCTCGTCTTAAGCTATATGTACAATGCCCAGAGCTTATGATATTTTACATGTAGCATGGGCCTAGTTGACCTTAACAAAAGAGGAACTATGCTCCTAAGGTAAAAAATGTCCCCACTCTACAGGGCATTTAGTATCATACAGTTTTCATGAAATGGATCTCTTCACTTATTAAAAAATTATTTCCTAACTGATAACAAATTTGCATTCAGGTATATATCGCCCCACTTTTTCACTTCTCATGTTTTAACGGCACAGATCCTTCATGAGGATCTTTTTTTTATGAATACAATATACGTTATTTACATTGTTACTAGCCATGCAATATCCTAAGAAATGTAATATTTATTTTTACACACCTGCATTCTCTACATTTACGAGGATCATGAATCTCTTCTTTAGCAGCCTGTTAAAAAGAAAACAATAAAGATACAAAATTCTGAGGACAAAAAAATTTACTTATAATAACCTTTTCGAAAATATACCAGTAGACTGGTCTGCTTGGTAGATCAGTATGAATATGGGTTAAATATGTAGTGTCATTTGAAAACTGCCAAACAGAACAGAATAGAAATAGAAAAAGAATAGAATTAGAGACAATATCGATGTATTGTTGATATTTTTGTGTTGATCAATAATCTTATAATTCTATTATTTTGATTAATTATTTAAATGTCTATAAATTATGAAAATGCAATAGAAACATATACAAAAGCAGGTGGCCATGTCTAACACTAAGCTGTTGTTACATAGTGGACACATTTCATAGCAGTGATGACATAATATATACAAAGGTCCTTTACAAAAAGAACACATATTTGCATAATTTGTTTTATTAAAATCATTTAAACTAGTATGAAAGTGAATTATATACAAGAACATTAGAGTATTTATAGTTATATCAGTGTATTGTTGATATTTGTCAGCTGATATCGGTGTATTGTCAATGAGTCGGCTCAATATGCTTTGCACTGAATCAATGACAGCACTATATAGAATAGATTACATTTAGAATAGAACAGAATAACTTTTATTTCCAATCATATTATATGACATATAAATCACAATAATAATGAGATCAAAGATCAAATAAAGATGTTAAAGAAGACAAAGCTTAATTCAAAGTAGCAATCACAATAAACAGGAGAAATAACAAAAACTAAATTTTAATGACAAGATCTAGCTGTAAAATTCAAGTAAGAGAATAACATCTAAACAAACGAGATGAAGTAGAAATAAATCTCAACTGTGTATTTTAATTTTAAAAAAAAGTTCTAAATAAGGGGATTTTCTTTATGGTCTTTTTTTTTTAATTAAGAATTACATTGTACATTGTATACTATTCAGACTTAAAGCATCAACAGGGAACCTGAAGAGAACCACCAAATTTCTGCATTGGAATGAAAAAAAAGCAATGTAACATCAATCATTTAATAGAAACATAAACTGACCCTTTTCATGGCTGACAGTATATTGGTTATCTTTGCTCTCTCAAGGACAGAGTCTGGCAGTCCATAGTCAGATAACAGTCTGTGCTGTGTGCTGGATGATGTAACACTTTCCCCAGATATATCATCTTCACTTTCATCATCTGCTTGATACAATTTATAACAAATAATTGTTTGTAAAAGAACAAAATTCTGACTAAAATATAACACATTATGTCTCAGAAACAAATAATTTTTTACTTCTTTAGAAAGGGCAAACATGAATTTTATAATGTTTAGATAATGGTTTTGGAGAATGTTAGATGTTTGTTGCCTGAAGAAAATAGTGATAAATGTGAAATAATTTGTCATAAAAGTAGCAAAATGTAAACAAAGCAGTATTTTGACTTACACATAAAAAACTAAATCACTATAACTGAACCTATTGCCAAAAGCAACAGAAGAAAAAGATGGTTCAGGTAACTGGCCAATGAGTAACTTTTTGGATTATATAAGTACACCAATATTAAAAGTTTTGAATAATAGAATTAAAGCATTTCTGATGCATGATTACCTTGAAGCTTCTGAAAGTATCACAAAATCTTTAAAAGAATATTCTCCAAAGTTTTTATTTAGAAGTTTTTCTTTTCATTGATTGAAATGAAGAACTTTGTTTTTAAAAACAATAATGAAAAGTTATTTGATCGTAATAAATATATCTAGTATGTGAAATTCGCTTGTTTTTAATATCCATGAAATACTTTGAAAACTGTAGTATATATGCATATCTGATAATTGAAAATGATTTACAAAACACATAAATATAAAACAACAATAATTACCTTCACTGGCTAGCTTTTTCTTCTTCAACAGTTTTAATTTCTTCCTACAAAAATGTTTCAAGTAGTCATCTTCCTCAGCTGTAGATATAGGTAGAAATTAAAATTATTTTATGTGACAATATGAAATAAACATGTTCTTTTTTCAGTTTTTTTTTAAATAAGCTGAGATAAATATGTTATATGTTTTGACAATATAGAATGTAATTGAGTGTGTGTTTTTTGTTGTTTGTTTGTTGATTTTATTTTTTATTTTTTTGTGGGGTGGGGCGGAGGGTTGAACATAAGCTAGGATAAATATGTTTTGGTGACAACAAAGCAACAGATAATTTCTACAGTGTTAAGAACTTGCCAATAATTTTTGTTAAAACACATTCATCATTCTTAAATCTAAAAATCAATTTCAACTTTGATACTGCTTAAATATCAAATAAATAAAATAACAAGAGGGCCATGATGGCCCTGAGGTCGCTCACCTGTATATAGGCCTCTGAAGCGGGGCCAGTTTAAACTCCAGGGCTTTTATTTGAACAAACTTTGAATTAAGACACCCATTTGAAGATGTTTCATGATTTTAAGTTTTTGCTATACACGTATAAGGAAAAACAATGACCTTCTTCCCCCCCCCCCCCCCCCCCGGGCAGAGTTAATTTTAACCCAAGGGCTTTTATTTGAACAAACTTGGTAGAAACCCATAAGAAGATGTTTCATGCTAAACATCTAAGCTCTTGCTCATTTGGTTTTTTAAAAGAAGATTTTTTAAGTTTTTACTATACGCATATAGTTAAAAACAATGACACCCCTGGGGCGGAGCCAGTTTTGACCCCAGGGCTTTTATTTGAACAAACTTTGTAGACACTTATTAGAATATGTTTCATGCTTAATATCTAAACTCTAGCTATTTGGGATTTTTTCAAAGAAGGTTTTTTAAGTTTTTGCTATACACATATAAGGAAAATCAATGACCCCCGGGGCGGGGCCAATTTTGACCCAAGGGCTTTTATTTGAACAAACTTAGTAGACACCCATTAGAACATGTTTCATGCTAAATATCTTAGCTCTAGCTCTTTGAGTTCTTTAAAAGAAGATTTTTTAAGTTTTTACTATATGCATATAAGGAAAATCAATGACCCCCTGGGGCGGGGCCAATTTTGACCCCAGGGCTTTTATTTGAACAAACTTGGTAGACACTCATTAGAAGATGTTTCATGCCAAATATCTAAGCTCTAGCTCTTTGGGTTCTTTAAAAGAAGATTTTTTAAGTTTTTACTATATGCATATAGGGAAAATCAATGACCCCCTGGGGCGGGGCCAATTTTGACCCCAGGGCTTTTATTTGAACAAACTTGGTAGACACTCATTAGAAGATGTTTCATGCCAAATATCTAAGCTCTAGCTCTTTGGGTTCTTTAAAAGAAGATATTTAAAGTTTTTTCTTTCGGTTGCCATGGCAACCAGAGTTCTGCATGGAATTAAATTCTTTGAACAATTTTTAAAGGTGACCACCAAAGGAACATTCCTGTGAAGTTTGGATGAAATTGACTTAGTGGTTTATGAGGAGATGTCATTTGAAGCAAAAGTTTACGGACGGACGCCGGACGAAAAGCGATCACAAAAGCTCACCCTGTCACTTTGTGACAGGTGAGCTAAAAACAATGATCATATTTGTATATATCCAAAAAACTCTCACAAGTAAAAATAACTCTGAAAAAAGCAGTAAAACAATACTAGGCAGAACAAACCCAAGACACAGCCTGCTTTCACACGAATTCTATCACAATAAATGGGAGCTGTCACGTTATGACAAAGCAGTTTAACTTAGTAAGTGTGGGTAATACTTCTGGCTTTGTCAATCATATAAACTTTGTAATCAACAACTGATATATTGAATTGTACAAATACGTTATGTACATTGTATGACTAAGCAATATAATCTAACCTTCTTCAGTGTGAGAAGGTATTGTTTCTAGCTGTGAAAACTTTTTTTCTGGTTTTGATTGGAGTTTGGTCAACATGGCTTTAACAAAATCTTTTTTCCCTTGCTCTGCTTTGTTAATCTCCTCTGCCTCCTTCTTTGCCTAAAAATTAAAACTTTTTTGTTTAAATTAAGGGAATCTGTACAATGAATCTAAAAATACATTTTTGAATAAACATTGTTTTCAATTCTAACATTACCCGCATTTTTCCCCATTGAATAAAGAAGAACAGAAAGTGTGTGTTATTATGCAATAAAATCACTGTTGACATTCTATATTTATATATAGATATGTGACATAATCATTATACATGTGACGTAACCACTAAAAATGTGACGCACTGAAAATAAATACGGAAACAAATCAGGCACAATTTTGCTTACTATCAGGTATGGTAGCATTTATAAATTGATGTTGTGTTAGAATTGAAATAATATATCCAAATCGGTGATTTTATCGCTGGATAACATCACTGTTTGTCGTTTGGATGCTCTTCATTATATCACTCGAGCTTTGCCCTCATGATATAACTCCTTGCATTCGAACTCCAAAGAGTGATGTAATTGAGCGATAAAATCACTGTTTGGGATATATTATTTCTTAAACATTTCAAAAACTATTTCTAACATTAACGATTATATATATTAGACTGGAGATCCTGCATTTGTTATTTGTTGCAAACATTTTATAACAAATTCATTTCTATCTATATAATTCAGAATCTGCCGGAATCTTTCTTGCATTTTGTTAAAACTGTATGGTTATTTCTAAATGCTAACCTGTTCTGGATCATGGTGAAAGTAGGTAGAAGGTTCTGTTGGTTCAAATGTATAACTATATTCATCATCAACAGTGGCACTCCCTCCATCATCTTCATCATCAGTAAGCCTTTTGAAGAAAATATATAAGCAACAGATAAATATTTCATTTTAAAATTTCTTTACTCTAAACACACAATAGAGCATGATGAACATAAAATAAAAACCATTTAGTCATCATATACCTTTTTCAAACCTGTTGGCAATGAAACTTAACTAAATTCAACACAAATTTTAAAAGAATGCATATATTTATTTCCCTGTCTATTTTAAGCATCCAAATTAAGGCTTTAATTTAATTTAAAGTTATGAACTTATCATTTAAATATTTGACATAATCTGAAAGAAACAAACATTTTTTGCATCAACACACAGTGTTTCTGCCAGCTCTGATTTTCTGAGGGTCTTTTATGACCCCCTGTATGATATTTTAGGGGTCATTTCAAATTCATAAGGGTCATGCCAATAAATTTAACAAAAATGTAAAAAAAAAACAACAGGTAACACTTTATAAGTTTTATTTACAATATTTTGTACAGTCGACTCTCGTTATCTCGAAGTCATCGGGACCATCCAAAAAATATCGAGATAACGAAATGTCGAGATAAACATATTAGGGTTTGAATAAGGCAGAAACTGATATTTACAAAAGACATGTGCATACCTTATGTCAAATAAACTATGATATCCCCATGTCTTATTTTCATAGGCCTTATCAATATTTTACATAGTAACATTAGCGATGTTTATCAGCGGAAATACGGGTGTCTGTGGAAAAAACACATAGAGAGGTTTACTCAGTAATACACCAATATAGTGAAAACATTGTTTCAGGGTGGTTGATCCAGATATCCTCCCTGATTATTTATCGGGTCTTTCTCAATGTTGTTCGACCACTGATTGATTTGGTGGTGATATTGTGAAACAATATTGCATACTTTCACTATTTCATTTACATTTAGTCATAATGAATTGATACAGTTTTCAAATATTTATAAAGAACGTAAAATTCACTCATTTTGGACATAAGTCAATCAACGCGCTAAATAGATTAACTTTTATAAAAACAGCTGAACTTGTTATAAACATAATCATCATTATGACACGCGCTATTTTATCATCATCTAGTTTGTGTTTTTCACACGTCTAAAGGGAACAGAATGATGAAAGAAAATTATTAGTCGAGATAAACAAAGGATAATAGTGTGAAAATAACTGCTGGGGCTGAAATTTTACATCGAGATACTGAAAATATCGAAATAAAAATATCGAGATAAACAAATATTTCCAATATAGATAAAGAAGGAATTAAATTGGGACTTTCAAAATTTCATCGAGATAACGAAATATCGAGAAGAGCGATGTCGAGATAACGATAGTTGACTGTATATTTTTCGTGAAAAAATTGGTCAATCTCTGCTATTTTGGATTATTTGTCATCCAATAATAACGCTGTATTTCTTAAAAATTATGTGTGTTAATTTTCATAGAAGAAAGAAAGTCGATACTATATTGAAATTCGTTCATAGTCGCCTTCTATTTTTCATAGTGCTTCATAGTACCGCCTAACGTAATCAAGGGCCAAATAAAGCTTGACACTAAATATGTTAGTGTTCATCCTTAGCTATTTTACAGAAATTAGAAACATTCTCCTGTCGCTATCGCTCCCTTCGAAGTTTCTAATTTCTGTAGAACAGCACAGATGAACACTAACATATACGCAGACTGCATTTTCCAGCAGACAGTTATTCAGTTCGCAGAATATGACGACAACAAAATAAATAATTTTGTCTGGGCGCTTTCAATATATGCAGTATCGTATAAATGCAAGCGTTTATTAACTAGTTTTGAAATTGGCTAAATGCCGGACCACGGACCCGGTAAATTTCATTTCTCATTAAAATTATAGTGGAGCCCACGGTAAACATTCCGTACATTTTTATACTGAATTGACGGTTTATAGTCTGTATATCTGACTTGTGTTGAAATCAGCGACAGTGAAATTCTTGCGTGACAAAATACGCACTAACTAAAATTCATTGCGTCATGGCTGAAAATAGTGCGCCAAAAACGCGCTCTGGCAGAAACACTGAACACAGTTCTATGTGATACAATACTTAATAAAAAATGACACTTCTTCCTGCCCTTTTCTTAATCAAATATGATATCTTTTTATGTAAATAAAAATTGTTTGAGATGCTATGTTACATTAATTTGTGATAGACTTACGATTTCCCATCATAATCTGGAGCAATATACGACCTATCTAGAAGGCTTTCATCTTCTTCTGAATAATCTGTATAAGTTTTGGTTGAATTTGTGTCAGAATACACTGAATGTTCTTTATAGGAACTTCCTGTTTCATCATATTGTGATTCTGCCTTAGTTCTTTCACTAGACTCAAACGTATCAGAATACAGATGGGAATCTGAAGTGTAAGTATCTAAATATTCCTTTGATAGTTCTTTAATTGTGTCCAACTCATTTCCAGTGAGATGCGAGTCTGAATGGGAAATATCAGAATCGACCTCTATGACAGTTTAATTCAAGCATCTCTGTTTTTGCAGTCTCGAGGTAAGAAGCATCTTGAATTTCTGACCCATCAAACGATGTTTTAAATGATATAAATGTTTTGATATCTGTGGTTGAACTATTTTTGTCTGAATCATTTCCTGCTTTTGACACTCCAGTCATAAAAGTGTCAGAATAGGATTCATTAATAAATGTATCAGAATATGTTTGATGTTCAGACAGATCGTCAAAGTTATCCGAGTACTGATATCTCCCTGATATTGAGTCCTCATGAATTGATAACTTATTGGGTAATGTATTGCTTTTGTCCTCAACACTCTTACTTTGTGGGATATTCCACTTAACAGACACTTTTTTACTTGTAGACATTTTTGCAGTTCGCGAAAACTAGTGATAAATCAAAATCCGAAACCTTCTACTTAGATGACACTAGCCATTTTCTCAAAAAAACATGCGATATACTTCTTCTATCATAACATTTAATACAAAATTTACAACTACAACACATAGTAAAGACAGCAGATACTTTTTTCCACAAATTTGACTTGTCCAGACAAATTGATCAGAGTCGATGAAACGCTTAGGTTCAGTTAAAGCCCGTAACGAGTCGTTATTTATCGTCTGCCTAAGAATGAGTAAAAATTTGCAGACAGGATAAATATGTGCTTTATAATGATGTTATAATGCCGTAATAACATATTCACAAGATGCTTATCATTTGAAGAAAATAGTGCTGAATTTGAATTAATTTGAAATAAAACAGGGTCTTTCAAATAGAAGACCCTGAATAAAACAGATATGTAGATAATGTTATGATATCTATGTTTCTGAATAAACGTAGCAAAATTTAAACATTTTTTTACTCCTATACCAAATACTTAATCACTACAACTCTACTCATTGCCAAACGCCAAAAGAAGCAAAGGATGGCTCAGTTATATCTCTATGGCCAATGAGTAGCTTTGGTAAAAACTGTCACTTAAACCATAGTGCAAAACCAGGGTCTTTCAAATTTCTATTTGAAAGACCCTGGCAAAACTTTAAAAAAAAAAACAAAAAAAAACATTAGCATTTTTATACTTGATGACACGTGCATATACAATGTACGTATACATTAATTTTACTCCCGGTTCATTTTGTTAGCTTAAGTTGAACCGGGTTTGTATTATGAAGGATGTAAGTACTTCACATAAATACAAACGCCAAGCCAAAACTCACACTCAGTTTCAACGGAAATTTTAACTGTTAAACACTCAGATATTGTGATAGTCAATTCTTTAATTAGACTACATGTTTTAAGATATTGGTACACATTTGAATCCTCATACGAGAAAGCTTCTTTAATTTAGATATAATTTAATGATATCATATCCTAAAATGTATAAATAAATAAATAAATAAAATCTACTGATAAAAGCATCCTAGTTAAATTACTACATGTATAATATACTCATAATAATATATAGTAATATTGAATGAAAATATTAGGATACTATTAATAAATCTATATTTCCAAAGGTGAGTGATTATCATCACAAAACATTACCAAGGGGCAGGACACAACTGCGAAGTTTAAAACATTCATTGAATAATAATAAAATAACATTTCGAACACACTTTTGGAATACATTTTGATGAGAGATCTGTCTTCAATTATGTTGTTGCGAATAGATACGAGTATATGTAATGTAGCAACATGACGAAATAAATGTGTAAGAAGTACACCTTTTGTCTCTTGCATCCAAAACTATGCAGAAGAGGTGAAAATCATGGTCTATTGAATGTTCTAACTCATAGTTATCGTATAATGAGTATTTTGAGTTTAAACAAAAATGTTATTTTCTAATCGACACCATGCTTAATCAACAATAATTGATCTATATTGTTGTTGTTGTTGTTGTTGCTGTGTGTGTGCGTGCGTGCGTGTGCGCGCGCGTGCGTTCGTGTGTTTTGTTTTGCTTTGTTTTTTTTGTGTGTGGTTGTTTTCCCCTCACAATATTGGTAACGCACCAACTGTTTTATTTGTACTATCCATAGACCATACAGTTGACAAGCGTCAAAGAATGGTAGTTGGAGTTTTGTTTGCATTCGGCGGGACCGTGATTGGAGGATTGATGTTTTATGTTTTACCCAAAAAGAAACCAACTCGTCCGATAATACTTCTTGGTGCCTTTTGTGGTATGTATATATGTAATTATATACGTTATTCCGTAAAAAAATGTAAAGTATAGAATTATTTGTTTCTGCCACATAACACAAGGATCTGAAGAAAAGATCATTTAAAAATGGAAGTAAAAACATCATACATGTATATTACGGAGAGGATTGACTAAATGTAGCCAATAATAAAATTCCCGCACATTCCCTGAAATCGACAATAGTTTTATGTTATTACATATAGGTGCATGAATACGGTATTTGTATGCATTCGATTTGGGTTTCAAACGTAAATTCAGTAAAACACTGATGGAAGTGGTTTCCTATCTGGACTATTTTTCATGATTCTGTCTTTTAAAGGGAATTTACATAATTTCATACTTTTACATTTCGCTTTGTAATATGTGTACCTACCTCCAAGCTCCAGGAGTTTTTCACATCATTTAGATATGTTGATGTTGATAAAAAGTAATTTGGAACAGTCTGGATGTCGATAACAAAATACAAACGAAAAATGAATTACAAACTGTATAGTGTCCGGTTAGATAATTTTATAGTGCGAGGATAAGCAGACTGGCCTCGATTTATACTGAGGACAAAGGCTAGCCAATGTTTTGGCGAGGTTTGATGTTATATTCTTTATTTCAGGTTTCTGGTCTGGAGTGACTTCCTACTGGATTATCAGGATGAGTGGACGTTTTCTCAGAAATTCACTCGCAATCACTCTAGGAGATTAAATATCTTGTATTTTGTAAATGACATAAATGTAAATAAATTCTCAGATAATTTTTAATTCGTTATGTCTTTTACCCATGGTTTTAAAAGACTGTAGCATAATGAAAAGTTTTCAAGTTTGAAAAAAAAAAGAAAATAATTAAATACTAATAGACGGTTACTTTCCCCTATATATACCGCCTGTTTTTGATGTTTCCAAATGTTGAAAGACAAATGAGCCGCGTCACAACAAAACCAACATAGTGTGTTTGCGACCAGCATGGATCCAGATCAGCCTGCGCATCCGCGCTGTCTGATCAGGATCCATGCTGTTCGCTTACCAACTCTATTTGAAGTAGAGAAACTGACAGCGAACAGCATGGATCCTGATCAGACGGATCCTGATTCGCGGATGCGCAGGCTGGTATGGATCCATGCTGGTCGCAAACGCACTGTGTTGGTTTTGTCGTGACGCGGCTCAAATTACATGGAATCAACCAACATCTGCTCTCAAATTCTGTTTGAAAGACCCTAAGCCTACCAAATAAAGACTCCTACGAAATGTGAATGAATGATAACTTAGTACTTGTTACACATCGGTACAAAATATTGTTATCTGATATAACTGCATTCATGATAAAGGTTTGAAACATTTCAGCAATGTTTTAATACCATTGATAATGGACTGAAAATTAGTACAAATGTAGTAAATTTTTTCATGACAAAAGAAGGAATACATACAGAACAGTCAATGACTCAGTCAAGAACTGTAAGTATTTAAGATTTTCTAACACTTTCTACTCTATTGTCTAAAACTGTCTAGATGACAAATTTCAAAACAATGAAGTTCATCACATTGTCCTGATCAAGCTAATAGGTTAAGTCACGACGAACCTGATGATAATAATAATAATAATAATAATAATAATAATAATAATAATAATAATAATAACGAAAAACTAAGTTGATATTTCTCCATGCTGCCCAACTGACAAAATTTCGGAACCTGCAAGCTAAATATCTTTCTATATTGACATTCAGTAGACTATCGTATTATTACTTGTTTATACTATATACTGTAACTGTAATACATATACATTAAAATTCTTAAACAGGAAGAAAAAAAAAGAAATCATTTCAATTCAATTTCAGTTTAATTTCCACGACACTTTTATTAGAAATTGTGTCGTAATTTTGTATACATATAAAATGTGAAATTCGAACGCGTTTTAACGTACGTCAATACATGTGTACTAAAATTTAAAAAAAAGATATATCCATTTTTATATCATTTACAAATTTTGATCAATTTTGAATTTTCAACGTTTCTATACGGAATCTTAAAAGCAACAATTGATATATGCATATCGTACTTAACTTGGTGGACTTGTTATCTAATAACTGCACATGTATGGACTTGTCTTTTTGATATTACATGTATTTGTATAGAGAGTCACTTTATTATCTGTTAACAGCGTCAATTTATCGTATGTCAATACAATACGAAAACTAAGATCTTAACATTTAAGCCGCGCCATGACAAAACCAACATAGTGCGTTTGCGACCAGTATGGATCCAGACCAGCCTGCGCATCCGCGCAGTCTGATCAGGATCCATGCTGTTCGCTATCAGTTTCTCTACTTGTAGTAGGGTCGGTAAGCGAACAGCATGGATCCTGATCAGACTGTGCGAATGCGCAGGCTGATCTGGATCCATGCTGGTCGCAAATCCATTATGTTGGTTTTGTCGTGACGCGGCTCTATTTTTATAAGGATATTCTGTTCAAATAACCTAAAAGAGATAATATGAATGGCAAAAGCACATTCAAGGTATTGCTTTTGATTTTTATCACGCGGCCGGAACATATAATGACATAATGCATATTATATTAGATCTACTGATATTCTAAGATATTTCAAAAGTTTGAGATATTCATACAAGTTAGTAAGATGTCTGCCACTTACAGCAGGGATCCCGGGCTCAAACCCTACTTAGATGATGACCATGATTTTTGTTAATTAGCTCCAATATTTCTTCAAAATCGAGCTCAGAAAGTAATTTTTACCATACATGTACATTATAAATTATGTTTGATAAAGTCATTGCTCTACAGAGTGCACGTGTCGTTTAACAAAGGTTCCACTGTGTGTGACATTTGTGACATGGCAAACTAAAGATTAATTTCTGTGATATACGTAAGACGCTGGAAGTTTTTTCTTTACCTTATTGGCAACTTTACTTTTACTTTTTTCATCCAGCGAACGTGCATGCATTGAACATTAAAAGAAATATTAGGCATTAATCCAATCAAAATTTAGCCCGTTTGGATCATTTTAAGATATGTTTTAATGTACAATAAAGAAAACTATACACATGTACATACTTTTAAATAACCATTGATGTTACATGTATTGAAGTCTCGCATGAAGAGGGGTTTAGCATCAAGTGCGGAGAAAAATGGTGAAAGTGAACATTGTGGAGATGTTGTTTGCCTCTAGTGGTGCTTTACTGGGAGGATTAGCGGCTGCTAACAATTAAAGCGCGAGGAGACAAGGTACCCTTGTCCGTAATTGTCATCGGATCTTTTTTCGATAGGTTATATATTTTAAAAGTTCAAAATGTTTGCAGGAAGTTTCTTGTATATGAAAATATTTATAAACATCATAGTGGTTTGATTGTCTTACTGTTGCCATACAGCTATACCATACATTTACCATAACATAAGTGAAATAGTGAATTTATTGATTTACTTGACTTTTGTGTAGGTGCTTTTAGCTGTGTCGAGTATATATTGGCTGATTTTGCGTTGCGTTGTCACGCTGTCGTCTTGTCTCTAGCGCGGCACGCCAAACGGTGCGTTGTCGTGTGGCGTGTTATCGCGATGTCACATTGTCGCTCGGTTAAAATTAAAGGATTGGCCTATAAGCCAAGCGACAGGGCGACATCTCGAACTCGCGCCGCACGACAAATCGCCGGTTGGCGTGCTGCGCTAGAGACAGGACGACAAAATGACAGCTCGCCGTTTGGCGCTTAGTCGTGTTGTCGCTAGCGACAGGAAAACAAGACGAAAGTCCGACAACGCGCCTTTTGGCGCTTTGTCGTGTTGCCGCTAGCACCAACTAGACACACAAAAGCATACCAAATCAGCCACCATAGTTATCATAGACTTTTGATCAAAGATGCTAGATATCCGACAAAGTAGAATAGGACTCTAGTTCGTGGGTGTTGCTGCTAGCATATTTCTCTTTTATCAGATTGCTTATTCAACTAATATTTCACAACATTTTATTTAACTTGTTTATTTTATGTGTTTGAGGTTTCTGGACTGGATGTACTACATATATACATTTAGATGGACGGTCAATTCATTTGTCAGATCCGTAGAGTATGTGCGCGATGCCATAAAATGGTTCTTATTGAACAGGATGATTACGTTTTAAATTAAAAATTAACAGTTAACTGATCGTAAATAATATGTGCATTTAATACCTGATTTGATATTGGACCTTTAGCATTATGCGATATGTTTTTGATAAATTTTAGACAGATGGAATGCATTTTACTTCAGTCAAGGATTTTGTGAAAATGAGCAGTATATAAACCAAAGACAGAAATGACAAATCAGATTGTTCTTTTGTTTGTTTCATTTGTAATACAATTAAATAAAGACATATTTTGTTTGTTAAATTTATCAATATAAGGAGTGAATGTAATCAGCAAACAAATTGTTTGCGGATTCACATACAATGTATATACTAAGCTTTTGAAAGCCCGTCATTTCCGTTTATTTACTGCTGCATTTATGTAATAACCACATCATATCTGCGACGCCTGCTATTTTTAGGGTATGTGGAGGTGGTGTTGGAGATCACGGCAGTTAGCCACATTGAATTTACCAAAGCACAGTTCAACCACCGCATCGTTCCTTTGCAGGCGGTAAAGCAGTTCGCCAGTACTAGTTGCAGAACTGATAACATCTGTGCATGCCTTAGCAGATGTACAGTGAAATGATCGTAGAAAGGATTTCATGAACAATCATAACGAAAGTGACCTGCACCGTCCAGGAGTCGGACCGTTTATTTTCAGGGAAGTGCATACAGTGACGGAAACGGTCGAAATACATGTATAAGTATGGGATTGACAGAATGCCTAAAACTTTATACCGGGTAGCTGATAAAACGTGGACCTTTTATCAAATTAGAAGTAAGAGATTTGCATTCTTTATCATTCAGTCTCATTCATGGCTGAAAATATCTGTAAGTAGGTTATAATCATATATGGCGAGTCATACTAGTATATGGTGTGGTCGTCAGTATAATTGGTTGTCTGTCTCATCAGTCAGTCCAAATTATTGTGATTTCCACAATAATCAAAGCAAAAAATGCGCTGAATTTGTTTGGGTCTCAGAATGTAAGAAAGGTGCAGGTTGTGAGATAATAAACCAATTTGTTTTTGTATAGTGCCACCAATGCTTTTCAGCGTTTCAATTGTAGTAAATTGGCTATAAGACTAATTGCAACACTGATATTCAATCCAATGTTTATTTGACTTAAACAATTTGAAAAAAATGAGTTGCCTTAACTGGGATTTGAACTCAAGACTTCTCGCTTCTTAAGCGAGCGCGCAAACCCCTCGACCACTGTGATTTCATATGTGAACGGCCTGACTTTATTCTAAATTAGGGTTTGTAACGACGCTAACTGTTGTTTAACACAGATGTAAGTAACCATGAAGCATGTAAATCTATAAAGAATAAAACAATATTAGAAATCTTTGACCATTCGGGAATTATTTTGCTTGAAAATTAATGCGCCTGTCATTTGACCATCTTTACGCAGTGATCTCCCCTGAATTTTGTGTACATATAAAGGAAAATAACCGCTTCAAAAAAGCGGACTACTTTCGGCATTTGCAATTAACAGCATTAGAGTCTGAAATTTCGCTACCATTATTTGTTTGGTCTGACGACCCAAACAAATAAAAACTTAAAGCTATGCTATTTTGTTTAATTTCTGTTCTTCAATTTCCTCCTACATTTGTTTTATCATTTTTACAATTAATACTACAGTGGTGA